TTTTTAACCTTTATTCTAACGACCAATCAATAATCATTTAATGCTTAGAAGAAAAATTCACCGAGTATTATCAAGGTGACTTATTTTAATGGCATAATCTAAAAATTATGCTCAAAATTAAATTATTTGCTAGCAATCTCGAAAACATCAAGTTTCAAGTAGATAATAAGCATATATGTGACCATCTTATGGATGCATTTATCCAAATCATAAAATATTTAAATGATTTACATGATGGATGAATTGATCCATATATATAACCTTGAATACATTTTAAAAATACTGGAGATTTAATCTCAATTTTATTTGGTGATGGCTTAATCATCAATTTACCTTGACAACATACGGAACATGAAAATTCATTAAATTGAAGAATCTTTTGGCTCTTCAATAGATGTCTATATGAATTTTTAATAATTTTTTGCATCACGAAAGACCCAAGATAGCACTAATTGGTCATGTCACGTAATTAAAGTATTTGAAATAGTAAACTTTTGGTTTACTATAATATATTTTGTTTTCAAGCATTCAAATGTTGGTAATAAAGAATAAAGGAGAAAGCGAATAATTTCTCAAATACATGCTTTCTATCCGATGTAATTATAATATTTAAGAATTTAATTTTTGACATTTGTCATCTTGATATAATGTCCATTTAGATAAATATCTTTGAAACTCGATAAATTTCTATGAGACTTTGAAGAGAATAGTACATCATTCATAATAAATTTATCATTTCGGATAATAACATATTTGCTATTCTAGAGCCTTTAAATTATGTCACTTCAAATAATAATATATCGACTCTTATAGAGCCTTTAAACATTTTCTCTTCAAGTAATAATTTATTCACTCTTCTAGAGCTTTAAAAATTTATCTCTTCGAGTCATAATATAATCGCTCTTCTAGAGCCTTAAAAATTTATCTCTTCAAGTAATAATATAATCGCTATTCTGGAGTTTTCTAGTACATTGATATTATCATATACAATATTAACATAAAATAAATAATTAAATAAATCAATACAAAATAAATAAATAAATAGTAAAATAAATTTGTAACCATCACTATACGATATAAATTACAAGAAATATGAAACATTTTATCTATAAATAAAAAAATAATAAATAATTAATTTTAATTACTATTATTTTGATCTATAAAAGTGGCTTTCATATTTTCTTCTTTATTTTTTAATAAGGCTTGACAAGGCTTAATGAGGTGCTTTGGTGTACGGCGAGTACACAATCAATATTCATTCATTTCACATTTATTATATTTATTTTTTAGAATACTAACTTTATCTATTTTTTTTTTTTCATAGTTATTCACTTCGGTGGTGGGATGTAATATTATGATCATTACGATTATAATGATAATTATTTCAACCATATCCGTGTTTATGACCACATTTTCATCCATGTCTAAAATTATTATAAATTGTCACATTCACTTTAGGGAATAGAGTAAATCCAATTGGATGAGATTTATTCTTTTTCATTTTATTTAGCCACTAACAAGTATAAAATCGATCCAAAATATTTCTTAAACCCTTTTTCTCGATATACTACTACGGTAGCATATCCAATACATAAAAAGCGAGAGAATATTTTTTAAAATCGAGCACTCATAATCAATAATTGTTATTCAAAATATCAAGAGTCACTAAATCAAGTTTATGAGGTTTGATATGATAAAAATTTTATAATACAATATCTAATCATAATATTAGAAAATAAGAACAAATATAATAATAAAATTAAAGCTTTTCAAATAACATATATTAGATCAAATTAAAGCTTTTCAATATATATTTCATGTATCAATAGATTTAAAGTACACGAATAAATTAGATACATACCTCTTAATGATATAAATAATTTATATCTTTTGGTAGAGCACTTGTGTAGAAGAAATCCAATAGTTGAAATAATTGATTAAGTCTTTTGATAGATACATACCTCATGGTCTATTGTCTCGATTAGTTAGAGCTTTGTGTTGATAACGTGTTATAAAATAAATAGAAATAATAGGAGAATTAAAGAAAATGATGACAAGAAAATGAAATCACTATAATTTGAATATAAGTGATAAGAATTTCAAAGTTTCTCTTATTCTCTCTAGGAAACTTGTACACCAACTAATAAACAATTAAGTCTATTTACGAGCTTCAAAATTGAGAAGAGAATTGGAAGAGACTATGAATAATCAATTGCATCACCCTTTCCATTCTCATATTGAATGATTAATTGAATCATATTAAGAATCATGAGTAGCGGGATATGAAAAGTTGATGAACATGATGATGGACATTCATTATTTCATAACGATATTAATGTAAAAAATATCATATATATATTATATAATAGTCAGTTTGTGTAAAAAAACATAATGATTTATTTTTTAAAATTTTAACACTCGGTTAAATAAAAAAAGAAAGAACATAAATTGATGGAAAAAAGCAAAGAAAAAAAGATAAAACATGTGTAGTGCATCGGTTAGGGGATTAAAATTTTTATTTTAAAATTTTAGAGATCAAAATAAAACAACCTAAAAATTTTAAAAATAATAATAAATTAAAAAAACCTAAATTAATGGGAAAAAGAAAATAAAAAAAGAGAAAAAGTATGTATAGTGAAATTAAACTAAACCAAAAAACAAATTACAACAGGAATGAATAGTGATTTGTGAGGGGATGAACAATGATTTTCACCGTCCAAACCCCTCGCTTGTTATATATATATATATATATATATAAGAAAAAAAAAAGGAGGCCGGGATAACCCGGTGCTAGGCCTTAGCTGCTGGGTTCAACCCGAAAAAAACGACATTCATTAAACAATAAAGGGGATGAACAGTGATTTTCACTATCCAAACCCTCTATTTGTGTATATATATATATATATGTGGAAAAGAAGAGGCAAAAAAAAAAAAAAAGGCCGGGACAGTGCCGATGCCGTGCCTTGGTTACTGGGTTCAACCCACGAAAAAAAGCCAAAAAAACATTATTCATTCAACAAGTAAATATACCTTGTGTTATATATATATATATATATATATATATATATATATATATATATATATATATATATATATATATATCGGGTTCAACCCTGAAAAAAAGACGAAAAAACATTGTTCATTGAAAGTAAAAATGCCTCGTGTTATATATATATATATAAACTTTACTATTCTCTAAAATTTTTTTTTAAACACATTTAACTTTTTAATAGTTTTTCTTTCTCAAGTATTTTTATTTTACATTGAAAATAGGACTAGTTATGTTTAGGATAGAAGTAACAAGATTTAACCATTTTCAACATATATAATTTTAAATTTTGAATTTTACATATTAACAAAAAAATTATTTGGAATATACTTTGTTTACTACTAATTCAATAACTTACAATGTCATAACTCAAATTTGGATTATAACTTTATTTATTTATTTATTTATTATTATTATTAAAAAAAAGATAAACGATAAAAAAGAAAGAAATTGATCAATTTTACTTTTAAGGATTCAATTGTAATTTTATTTAAAAGTATTATGGATCAATTTATAAATACCAAAAAACTAGGGAAACTATTGAAATAAATTAAGAAGGGATTGGGAATAATTGAAACTCGAAGGGACTAGAATAATTATCAAAAAAGACTTAATCATAGGAAAATCAAAATTAAAGAGGACCAAATTGAAAGGAAAAAGTGGACGATAGGATGAACTTAGCGAGCTTGGCCACGGACTACCCGTCATCCATCACTTGAATTTGAGATACATTATATTGTTCCTCTCTTTCTTTAACAAAGGAGAGGAACAATACCAAGTTTTTGTAACAATTTTTTTTTCTTTCCCACGCATTTTTGATGGCCGACTCGGCCATCTTTCCCCTCTTCTTCACTAACCCACGACATCCACTCTTCACCACTTTCCCCTATAAACTCGTCATTCCATTCTCCACCAACTTCCCCACGATCAGCCATCCTTCCACCGTAATTGCCCACCATCACTTTCTCCATAAAACTCCCTACAACCCCCGTAAGTCACCCACTACTAGTTGCCCACTCTACAATCATTCTAAGCATATAAATAGTAACGGGAAGGGAGCAAAGAAGGCGGGGTCGAGAAGAAATAGAGAGAGAAATAGGAGACACGAAAGAAAAGATAAAAAGAAAAAAAAGAGAAACAGAGAGATAAAAAAAAGAAGGGAAACAAGAGGTCTTTGGTTTTAGAAATTTGAGGCTTTAGAGTTTTAATAGGTCTTTGCTTTTTACTCGTTTAATAACACGAAGAAAGTAGCAAATTCTAAAAAAAGAGGGGGTAAGAATTAGAAGAAGATAGAACAGAGAGAGAAAAGGTTGAAACTTGAAGTTCTTTGCTTTTGAATATTGAAACAAATGAGGCATTAGCTAGAAGTTCACCGTCTATCCCTTATTCGAATTCGGTTTCAATTTCTCACCACTACGTTGAGCTCACCAAGTAATTTCTTCACCCATTTTATATTTCATAGCTTAAATCATTCTCCAGCTTTTGTTCCTCGATGTGCATGAAAAATGAAGATAGCAACGAATATGATATCCTAAAGTAATGAATAAAACTCGCCATCTTAGTCTTGTTTACTAACCATGATACGTAGGAAGGAGGATGGAATATTTGAAGGAGTTTAAGTAGGGGAGTTTTTTACTAAATTAGGGTATTTTTAAATCTTTATTCTTAAAAAGGGATAGTTTTAAACTTAATTCTCAAACTAAACATTTTTTTACCACATAAGATATTTTCATCCACGTCACTTTTTCCTTATTGCAATCAATTTGTCTTCTTCTCCAATGTTAAGCATTTTCTTGATTCCTATAACCAACCGCAATTAATTTTAATGCTTTCTAAAAAAGATCGGACATCTCAATAAAAAACTACCTTCTCCAACTCGATCATGTGTGTCTCGTCATCTCCAAAAATCACACATAGCAGAATAGCATAAAAAGAATAAGAGATATTGAAAATGAAAAACATATTGGCTTTTGCTCGCTTCGAAAGCGAAGGAGACAAAGAGGGACCATTGGCATCAATCGATGTAAAGCGACAAACAAATATCATTCGTCACTTCCCAACATAAATCAATTTTCTCGTTACGATTTTGAAAAAATTGTTTATGTTTTTTTATAATTTGTGAGCAAAAAGCAAAATAAATTCAATTTCAAAAAATGTCTTGGAGTCCAACGAATTCAACTAGACAACGACTTCCAAATCCTAAAATATATTATGAATGGAATAAAATCTAACATGATTTGATACTAATACAAAAGATTATGCCAAATGAGATGATGAATTTGATCAAAATTTTTATTGCCTAGATCTTAAAAATCGAAAGCTCCGAATGACGGGATTCAATAACTCACATCTCTAAGAGAATTAAAAATCTTTTATTGCCTGCAGCTCCGACCCATGCCAAAAGACGGCCGCCTTGCTCTCTTTCTTTTCTTGGTATCTATAGATGTCCTCTGCTACAAAAAATGTTTAAAAAGGATACAAGGGAAGATTGGCACTAGATTTCTCACATTTCCAACATATGCATTTAATTTGTCCGAGATCGGTTGAGACACAACTAGAGAGTCTCTTATTTCATTCCTCCAACCCGATTAGGTATTACCGTTACTCGATTTTGTTGCCATGCTTCTTGTTGTGTAGAACAAAGCTTGTGGGGTGGCGTTTGTTCTTAGGATCATCGGTGATCGTGACTTCTACCTTTTGAACTGCAAGGGAAGAGCGGTCGTCTTCGGTGTGGTGGTGGTGTCTACTCTCGCAGATTGCGGACGAGGGTAGAAGAAATCAGTAGGGAAGAAGTTGTATTGAAGGCCAACCATGGAAATAATTAAGCTTTCAAGAATCAAGACATGGTTGTTAAGAGTATCGTTGAAGAAAATGAAATTTTAGTTCGATTGGATCTAAAGATTATTTAAGGTTTTGCATCCATGAGAAATTAATGGTGATTTTCATTTGAATCTAGACGTGGAGAAATAGAAAGGGACCACTTGATGACATGTATGTCTACATGTCAATAAATATCTATTTTGATAAATAAGTTTAAAAGTACCTTCTTTTAGTAATAAAGATTTAAAAACACCTTATTTTTGAAAAAGACTCTAAGTAGGGATAGTGGTTTAGTTTATTTTGTGATATAGCGATTGTAGTTAATAAAAGGAAAAGAAGTAGAAACGAGTTATGGCCGAGAGAGGAGAAGAAAAGGAAAGGAAAAGCTGTTCGGGCCAAAAAATTTAGGCCGAAGCTTTGGTTTAGGAAGGCTTGGGTTGGGCATATGTCCAGTCTAAGCATTAAAAAAAGATGGGTTGGGTTAGTCCAATTCTAAACAAAAATAAATAAGTCGGAACTAGTCCGGACCAAAAAAAAAAAAAGTTTATTTTATTTTATTTATCTCGTTTATGTATATATTTTATTTTAGATAATTTTATTTTGAATGTTTACTTATGAATTCTGTTTAATTTTAGATTTTAATACTCTAGTTTTCTTGAAATTTTTATTTAGTTAACTTTAATCAATTTTAGTTTTTAGAATTTTATTTTCACAATCGGTTTAGATAACTAAATGGTAGATGGATTATCGAGTCTTTTAATTTTTATGGATCGATGATGATTTTCCATCGACAATATATATATATATATATATACGTGTGTGTGTGTGTGTGTGTGATAAAAAAAACAGCTTAATTCTTTTTATTAGGAGTTTGTTTCAAAATTAGATTAACGAGTTAATGGATATGTGAATTGTCGAGTCTCCTAAATTCTTAGGGATTGATGACAGTTTTCCCCGAAATGACAATGATTAGATTAGTAGTTAATAAGTGGGTGAATTGTCGAGTCTCCTAAATTCTTAGAGGTTGATGACAGGATTCCCCGAAATGTCAATAAATAGATCAATAGCTAACGAGTGGGTGAATTGTCAAGTCTTCTAAATTCTTAGGGACTAATGATGATTTTTCTTAAAATGTAATAATCGGATTAATAGTTAATAGGTTCGTGAATTGTTGAGTCTCTTAAATTCTTAGGGACCGATGAAGGTTTTCTCCGAAATGTTAAAAATTAAATTAGTATTTAATAGTCGGGTGAATTGACTACTCTCTTTAATTCTTAGGGACCGATGAAGATTCCCAAAAAAAAAAAAAAAAAAAATTAATTTGACTTGAAAAATTGAAGTTTAAATCGAAAATAAATTGACATAAATAAAAATGCTTTAGGAGATGAATTTAAGATTAAACAAGACATTGTAGGTTTCTTAGGAAATGGTGTCTTTGGGTGATCCATATCTTACCGGAGCGTAACCAACTTCTTATCTTAGAATCTCCGAACCAGGTGTTTATTTTAGGTTTTTAATTCATTTAATATTAGGTGGCGACTCCAAACTTGTAAATAGCTCAATAAATAAAAAAATATTAAATTTTTTCGAGAGTTCCGTTCGATATCGGATAGCGACATATAGTTTGTTTACTTTTTAATACTAGCACATAATCAATCCCTTCATAATTTTTATGACATGTTGTTCATAATCTTGTTGCGAGTCTATGAGTTGCTTGGGATCCAAGTTTTTCATCCATAAAATTATTATGATCCATACAATAAGTGCTCAAAATATTTATCGATGACTCCAAAAAATATTGAGTTTAAAATTCTTTTTTTATTAGAACAAGAGAACCCACATATTAAAGAATCATCATGTACCAATAAGTTGTTAGGCCAACATTATGTACAAATAAGTTGTTGGTCCAACGATAAACAATTCGATTGCTAAGCAAATTTTCTATTTATAAACAAAGTTCAAATAATTTTCTTTGCAAACATGAATATTACTAGTCCTATTTATAATGTAGAATGAAAATGTTTTAAAAAATAATTATCGTGTTGATTTTAATTAATGTTCTCACAAACGACGATTTGCTGTGGTGGAAAAGCTTAAGACAAGCTGGTATGTTTGTGTTTCTTAGAGAGTAAAACGCTGCAAAAGAAAGAGGGAGAAGTTGAGAACTTTCCAGTAACTACTTGAAGTTTTTTTTTTGGACTAATTTGACACCGTGATGGATTTTTAACTCGTCACCTAGCTAGAAATGTATTTTTACCGTTGAATGCAACCACCGGTTACAGCTATATTTAATTGACGAATCTAGTCTTAATAAAACAGATAATAAAAATAACATTTGAAGATTCGACGATTTCCCGATCAACTTAAGATCATTTTCGCCCATTCCTCAAAATTACTCTGCAATCTAAAAAAAAAAAAAAAAAAAAGCTAAGTGCAATCATCAATATTTTTTTCCTTCAAAACTTACTCAACATCCGCTAATGCAAATCCACCAATTTCTAAGTAACTTCTGCACAACTCTGTTTCAATTTTAAAAAACTACTACATCATTCACTTACAAAAGAATTAACCTAACTATTTGCAAGAAAAGCAACGGCAAGATATTCTTTGAGGTTCGTACGGTCGTACCGCAAAGTGCACGAGTAATTGAAAAATAAAAATGTGTGCATCGACTAATCCTCGCATCGACCAATCATCATCATATCGAAACTTTCTAAGCCATCACTGCCGCAAAAAGAGGCCCCATCAGCATCATACCACATTCTCGAGATTACTTCTAGACACATCCACACCCTTCATCATAAATCCACATCATCGATACTGTACACCACCATTGTACATTCAAGTTTCGCGAAGCACCCAGTTGTTGTCCCAAAGTCAAATTCCCAAACCCGACAGTCAACCACTCGCTTTTACTAGAAGTCACGTCAAAAGAAACCAGGTGTCCATCATATTGAGCGAGATTTATCTTTTTTATACACGATTAGCTTTCTTCTTCGTCCAATTTGTTAAGCGTATCCTACGGCTACAAGCACCCGAGGCAAAAATTCTTCTGCCGAGGAAAGAGAAAATTTTGTCCATGGACGATGTCTTAAATGGGAACCGCGTTTACATCATGGAGATCCGTGTCTGAAAGATATTTTTGTCTCTAACATTTTTTAACCACACACGTGTACCTTAATTTCACATAAGTCCTTCGATTGCAATTTTTTTTACTCAAAGTCACTGAATGCACGTGTCAACCTCCCTGTGACCAATAGAAAATTGAAACGTACATGATTGATTTAAGCTTTCGAAATCAATTTTGGATCAACGCCCCTCTATCATTGAAATTTGATTATTGATTTTTTTACTCTTTTTTCAAAGAATATCTTTTTCGTATAACCATCTCGATCCAAAATTTTAGATTATTAAAAGAGATTTATAAAATAATTTTATATTATTTTTTTTATATATCTCTTAAAATAAAATTTTTTAACACTTAAAATTTACACTGATCTATCATAATTTTATGTTTAATTTTTAATTTTAATTAGAAGAATCAAAATAATAAGTTCCTATCTTTTACCTTTTCGATTGGTAAGATTTTAATAGTATTATATGAAAATAGTAATTGAATTTTACTAATACAGACTCTTTATTATTCTTATTCATAAATAAAATATTTATTCGGATTTGATTGTTATGTTGTTTTGTTATTTGTAATATGTTAGTTTGGTGAATTCAAATAAACAACTTTAACTATATTTTGAGAGGTAAAAATTTATAGTTCTTTTAATTAGTAATTAAGGTTAGTACACCCTCAAATTTTGTAGACGGATAAATAATTGATTTTAGGATTAATATTTTTACTTTTTCTTATACAATAGGTCAATTTTTTAATCTGTTTTTTCTTTAAAAGCATTCAATCTATCCATATATTTCGAATTACTTTTCTAATTTATCTCTCTGATTAAATTTTAGATTAATTTTTAAAAAATATTTTTATTTTATTTTAGTAGACGTAGATCACTTGCACTAAATTAATTTTTATTTTAGTAAATATAGATCAATTTTGTTCAATAATAAAGATAATTTTGTCAAATCATATATTTAATTTAACTGAAAATTTTAACTAAAACGATAGATTAAAATCAACTCAAAATATAAAAATAGATTAAAATAGTTTTTTTAAAAAATCTATTATATAAAGACAAATAAGAATAATAATCCGTGATTTTTCAGTGGAATCTATTTGCTCATTTGAAACTAGTAGTACAGACAAGCAGATACGTAATTTCTCCAACGATAAAGATTCGCAAATTATAAAGGAGAAAAAACAAAGGGATGAATACTAAATTGGTTGAGAATAAGCCAAGTGGAGACGTGAATAGAGTAATTAGGAAGAAGAAAACAAATTTTAGGCTTTCTGATAAGATGGGGAATCGTCTTCACGTATATAAACTCCCAAGAAAAGTGGTAGAAAATTGGAAATCTATGTCTATATAATTCCACCATGTGGTGCTATTTCGCAGCTATATATATATTAAAAAATGAAAATTAAATAATTAATTTTTCAAATAAAAAGACTAATTAATTTTTTTTTGAAACTAAAAAAACTAGTTTATAATTTACTCCAATAATACTGAACAAAATTATACGTGACTGACACTTCTAAAATTATTGTGAAAATAATCGAATATATAGTGGATAAATAGCTTAATGATGATTTGCATGGTATTTCATTTGGTTTACATGGTTTGCTAATTGCTAAATAAAATCCATCTGAAGCAACAATGATGTAACATTGATCTAGTTGTTACTTTGAGGTTTGAGCTGATTAAACATACAATCTCTAACATTAATCAATTAATCAATAAGTAGAATTAATTAGATTAGATCAGTCAAAACATACAACAAATTGCATTGATTGAGGAAAAAAAAAGTTGACCAAATAATTCAACTATTTTATAGGATCAATGTCAAAACAAACTATTTAATGAGAATAGAGACGTATTTATATGCATGGATCATTGAATCCCAAATAATTGATTTATAAACTAACAATTCAATCAATATCAGAACAAAAATGGCACACAAAACAATTGATACGTGTGAGACAGGATGATTTTTGAAAAGAGATATTGCCAGATTTTCCATGTGGCTGCAGACACAGGACACCGGTTGTGGGTCCCATGTCCCCACTAAAAATTGGTTATTTCCTCAAATCATGGAGACTCTGGGTCCCTTCTCTCAGCGAACTGGCATGCTCAAATGATTGATCATGGCCTAGGTGTATTTTATTTTATTTTTTTATCTGTTGAGTGTACAATTTGTATCATCTATAATAATTCTTCGATATTCAATCGGATATTAAAATAAATATAACTATTAACAAATTTTAATTTTATATATAAAAACTTAAAATGAAAATCAATTTTTTAATGGTTATTTCCTCATGCTAGTGTATCCTTTTAAGTATTTTTTCTAAAATTAATTTTTTGAAAATTTTCATGCATGGAATGAGTCCGTCCAATTAACAAATACCATAATCCAATATTAAAATTTTTGGTAAAATTTTTTTAATAATACTAACTTCATGATTAATTAGGGATGCATTCTTTATTTGATTATTACCGTTCAAATTTCAAATAAATTATAAATAATTTAATCTTAATATTTGATCCCGTCCTGCGAATAATTTTAAAATACAGATATCAAAATACACGTGTTAGCTTTTAGAAAAAAATTGAATTTATTGCTTTGCCTTAAAATTAAGGGATTAAATGGTATAAAAGTAATGCCAATACTAAATATTAGTTTTTTCCTTTCTGGTTCAACTTCATTCCAATCAATTTTTACACATTAAGAGCAATTTTTTATTAGGCTTTTAGAAGACCGTATATATCCAAACCAGTATATTCATTAATTTTTTTTTTTGAAAAAAAAAACTGCAATTTGAATGTTTAATTTTTGATTTTTTTTTCTATTTGAATACTTAACCTATAATTTCTTTTATTTGAATGTAAAAAATTTGATTTTTTTTTAAGTACCTACAATAATCGGAGCTAGAAAAATATTGATATGTCCATAATGAATTTTCACATGACGAATTTTAACTAGCATGAGTAAAAAATGAGCCCTGCTTGGATTATATAGAAAAAATTAAGATTTGAGTGCCTAGCTTTTGAATGCCTATAATCTGATTTTTTTTTCTATTTGCATTTTTTCAGTCACTTAAAATTAAAAAATACTTATATAGTTAGAATTAATTGACACATGGTAAAAATGAGGTCCCATTCAGATTTATTGAGAAAATCATAAAAATTTTATATAAAAAATAACTGACAATAATTAAAAAAATATAAAAAACTACCGTTAGTCTGAATGAACTTGAACTGTTTAGATGATTTAAAGTTTAGACTATTGAATCAAGCAAAAAAAAATATTTGAATGATGATATCTTTGAATTGTTTAAGAAGTTGATCAACAAACTTACTTAGTTCACCATGCTAACAATACTTGAGTTTGATTTTTTTTTTTAATTATAACCTGTTGGATTTTTTTTACCATGTGTTAGGTAAAGATTACCGCATGTCATTGGTTTCTGATCACGTTAATATTTTTTTAGTCTCAACTCTCAAGTGACAGAGAATTAAAAAAATAATAAAAAAAATCAAACGTTAATCACTCAAATAAGAAACAGAGAAAATTAGACACTCAAATTCTCTTTAAAAGTTTCATTTTTTTAATAATCAAAACAGAATTCGTTTTTTACTATAATATGACAATTGTTTCCAAACATATCAATATTTTTTAATTTCATAAAATTATAGGTACTTAAATAAATAAAAAAAAGTCAAAGTTTAAACACTCTTTCTAAATATATTAATATTTTTCAGTCTCAAATAGTTATGAACACTAAAAAAAAATCAAAGTTTAAGCATCCAAATAAATAGATTTAATGGTTAAACACTTTTTTTTTTTTAAAAAAAAAACCAAATCTTACGCACTCAAAATTGAAGTTTTCTCATTTCTTAGGATTGAAACTCCAGATGATGACATCAACTGACCGATAAGACTAACTCTAGATGAATTGGTCCATTTCCACACATGGTGGGATTGATAATGTGAATCATTAAAATGCTTACACGCATTAATGACTAGTCAAATATTTTGCGCACACACAACAATTAACATGCTTAGTTACCAAGCGCACTAGGATGCTACAACTTGGCTTCCTTCCAAAGAAAGAAACGCCAAAAGCGAGTACGTGGACACAGATCAGCACCAATAATTGCATCGGCGTAATAAAGAAAAACAATCAACCCACACACGACACATTGCACTCTCCATGTACCCAAACCCTAACCACCACCTGCATAGACTCTACATGCTGAACTTTAAAATTTTCTACACGTGTCAAGCTCAAAGCCACAATTTCATAGAAAAACCGTGAACCTTCACGTGAAAGAATTCTCATCACGTGAAAGAATGACAATTCTTGTTCTTAAAAAGCGAGTTAATGGATCGGTACATAGTGGATCCGACGTGGCGGGTAAATCTGCCATTAGAGTCTTAATAGGATATTATCCATACCGTTGGCAATAACTAAAGCTGTTTTTTTTTTAAAAAAAAACATTATTTTTTCCTTTAAGAAATCCAAGAAACTAGAATTCTTATTTCTTGCATAGACAAGAAACCAATAGAGACAAGGATCGTAGCCGAACCCCCCAAAAAAAAAAAAAAAAATGTTGTCAAATTTTTGTTCCAGTAATATTACTCCACAATGTTGTACTATAAATAGCAGACCTTGTTTTTATTCACCTTCATCTTCAATAGGATTCTCTCTAAACTTCTGTAAAGCAAAAACCAAAAAGCCTTCTGTTTCTGGTATTTATCTCTTTTCTTTTCCATGTTTATCCATTGTTTTTGTTATGTTTTCTGTTTGGTTTGTGAAAAAAATGGAACAAAATCTGACACCATTTTTCATCTCTGGGAGTTTGCAGGTATTCTTCGAATTATATAGCATTCTCTTTATTGGCATTTAAGGTAAATTCTTCATCTCTTCTTTAGCTTCTCACTGCAGTATCGATTCAAATTCAAATTTTATTTTTATGAATGCGTATTAGTATTAGCTTTGATTTTGATGTATCTGATTAATTAATGCATGCGTTTATAATTGCAGAGAAGTGAAGTCCCATTAAAACCTTCGAGAAAGGAAGACAAAAAGGAAGAGGAAAAAGAAGCAATGACGATCAAACCGGCTGTTCGAATTTCGGACCGGAGATTGATCGTTAAAGACCGGACAATATTGACCGGTGTGCCGGACAATGTGGTAGCAACATCCGCCACAAGTTCAGGCCCGGTCGAGGGAGTGTTTCTAGGTGCTGTTTTGGATCAAGAAAATAGTAGACACGTGGTTTCTTTGGGTGCTCTACGCGATGTCCGGTTCATGGCTTGTTTCCGGTTCAAGCTATGGTGGATGGCTCAAAAAATGGGGGATCAAGGGAGAGATATCCCTCTAGAGACACAGTTTTTATTAGTTGCAACTAAAGACGGGTCCCATCTTGAGTCGGACGGTGGAGATGAAGAGAATCAGATTGTTTACACTGTTTTTCTGCCGTTGATTGAAGGGTCATTTAGGGCTTGTTTGCAGGGCAACGTTAACGATGAGCTCGAACTCTGTCTGGAAAGTGGAGACGGAGAGACTAAAACGTCGTCGTTCACTCATTCTTTGTTCATTCATGCTGGGACGGATCCGTTTGGGACAATAACGGAGGCTGTTAGAGGCGTTAAGTTGCATCTGAAGACTTTTCGTCAACGGCATGAGAAAAGATTGCCTGGAATTGTTGATTATTTTGGCTGGTGTACCTGGGATGCCTTCTATCAAGAGGTGACACAAGAAGGGGTAGAAGCTGGGCTTCAAAGTTTAGCTTCCGGCGGTACCCCACCAAAGTTTGTGATCATCGACGATGGATGGCAATCAGTTGGTGGTGACCCACAAGAGGAAATCAACGATCAAGATGAGAAGAAACAAAATGGGCAGCCGTTGCTTAGGTTGACTGGGATCAAAGAAAATGCAAAATTCCAAAAGAAAGACGATCCAACAACGGGGATTAAGAGCATCGTGAACATAGCAAAACAAAAACATGGGTTGAAATACGTGTATGTGTGGCATGCTATTACTGGTTATTGGGGTGGGGTGAGGCCAGGAGTTACGGATATGGAGGAATATGGGTCAATGATGAAGTATCCGATGCTGTCTAAGGGAGTGGTCGAGAATGAGCCTACATGGAAAAACGATGCAATAGCAGTGCAGGGATTAGGGTTAGTGAATCCGAAAAATGTGTACAAGTTTTACAACGAGCTGCATAGTTATTTGGCAGCAGCTGGTATTGATGGGGTTAAAGTGGATGCGCAATGTATTTTGGAGACTCTTGGTGCTGGTTTAGGTGGTAGGGTTGAGTTGACTAGGCAGTATCATCAAGCCCTCGATGCTTCTGTTGCCAGGAACTTCCCTGACAATGGCTGCATTGCTTGCATGAGCCATAATACCGATGCTTTGTACTGGTAAGTTTCCTTTCCTTTTCTTCTCTACTTCTGTTCTTTTGTTAAAGTTTGGAGCTTTTTTCTGATGGGATGTGGTGCACTGAACTGTTATGGTGCAGCTCCAAACAAACGGCAGTGGTGAGAGCATCGGATGATTTCTACCCGCGTGATCCAGTATCGCACACCATCCACATAGCAGCAGTTGCATATAACAGTGTTTTCTTGGGAGAGTTCATGCAGCCTGATTGGGACATGTTCCATTCTCTACACCCAGCTGCAGAGTATCATGCTTCTGCTAGGGCTATTAGTGGTGGGCCGATCTATGTTAGGTAATAAATCCTAGCCCTTCATGGCTTCATCGTCAACCAAATTTACCATGTATAATTAAGATATCATTTGCTAAATGTTGGTGGTGACATTTTTGATGAGCAGTGATGCACCTGGGAAGCACAACTTTGAGCTACTAAAGAAGTTGGTACTTCCTGATGGGTCTATTCTTCGAGCCCGTTTGCCCGGAAGGCCCACCCGTGACTGCTTGTTCTCCGACCCGGCCCGTGATGGCGTTAGGTAAGTCTTGTTTTTGTTTCTTGACGATTTTATCAGCTAAGCCAACTAGCAGGATGAAAATATTTCGATCCTTCCATAAAACTGAATTTGAGTTGATTTTTTATCCTTAAAATGTTGCATTATGGGCATTTTTCTTAACCAAAATTTCTTTGGTTGCAGCTTATTGAAAATATGGAACATGAACAAGTTCACAGGGGTTCTTGGTGTGTACAATTGCCAAGGAGCAGCTTGGAACAGCACTGAAAGAAAGAACACATTCCACCAAACCAAAACTGAGGCCCTAACAGGAGTCATCAGGGGCCGTGATGTCCACCTCATCGCCGACGCCGCCACGGACCCCAATTGGGATGGCAACTGTGCTGTCTATTGTCACCGGACCGGAGAACTTATCACCCTCCCATACAATGCAGCATTGCCAGTGTCACTCAAAGTACTTGAGCATGACATATTCACAGTCACACCCATCAAGGTCTTGGCACCTGGGTTCCGGTTTGCACCGTTGGGGCTAACTAACATGTTCAATGCTGGTGGAGCCATCGAGGGGCTAAAGTATGAAGTGAAAGGCGGTGCTGAATTATCAGAGCTTGATGATGGATGCAAGGGTGAAAGTGGTGGTGTGAGTGAAGAGAGGGTGGAGAACCGTAGTGATGAATTGGTAGGGAAAGTTTGCATGGAGGTTCAAGGGTGTGGCAGGTTTGGTGCTTATTCATCTGCTAAGCCAAGGAAGTGCATTGTGGACTCAAATGTGGTTGATTTTGTGTATGATTCGAATTCCGGGTTGGTTGGTTTTAGCTTGGATAGCTTGCCTGAGGAGGGCAAACTTCATGTAGTTGAGATTGAGTTATAGGTAAATTTTTGTTAGAATAATGGGCTGCATTGGTGGTGGTTTGGGTATTGGGGTATGTATTGTACTTGCCATGTTTTCCCCTCCAATTTTCGTTTCTTTGTGGTTTACTAGTTCATGTAATCATGCAAGGAATTGAAGGGGGAGGATCAATTAAGATTTCTGCTATCTACTTGTTTGATCAATACTCTGTTCTCGGCTAAAGACCACATGCCTTGACCCTTGCAAAAATCCATTTCCACGCCATTAGATATAACTTGAATCATAGAAAATGGTGATGATTAACAAACAACTAATGTTTCCTCCTTTCATTAATCAAACATAAACAAGAACCGCTAGAAACCAGAAAGACAAAGGAATGTACTTCAATTGCTTCCTTCAGTAAAGCATGATTCATGGGGTATTGATGATGAAACACATTCAGTAATCCTTGACGATTGTGACACAAGGAAACTTGAATCCAGTGGATCAACGTAAACAAAAGAAAACCAATCTTAACTTTATCTGTGCTTAAAATCAATAATTATTCAATCGTCAAAACAAGCAATAGATTAAATCAGTAGAAAACAGCTTTCTTGGTACTGGGAGGGTGGGAAAGGGGCCCTAAAGGGACTGGAAATTTAGACTTCATGAGGATGCACGCCAATGGCAAAGAAGAACAATAAAAATGACACTGATTGTTTCTAGATGCCATTCTCAATATATACAGACAAATGTTTTCCACAGAGATATCCTTTTTGGTTTTTAATAATGGATACAATAACTTGAAAAACCTATCCAGAAAAGCTGTCAGCTTCCTTTCATCCATTGAACAAACCCTGGGATTGGTCTTGAAGGAAGGTTATGATTGTAATAGTCTAATCACAAAATTATGCAGTATCCTCGATTGTAATGATCACCTTGCTAGAGCTTTGTGCCCCAACCCACGGCATTCCTGTATGTCCTGGTTTTAGTAGCATAATTCCTCACCGTTTTGTTGTTACAATATCAGTGCTGTCAAAAAGTTACAGCTCCTATTCACGATCAGATTCATCATCCTCTTGTTTTTGTTGTTGCTGTTCTTCTTCAATCAGTTGCAGTTCCAGTACATGACTAAATTCATCACCAACATCATCATCTTGCTGTTCGTGGCTTTTGCACTGCAGTTGTTGCTGTTGCTGCTCCTTTTGAGCATGACGTTGATTCAGTCCTGTTTGTTGATAAAACACTTGCCTTTGGACATTCCAGTTTTCTGTGATCCTCTCAACTTCATCTCCAATAGATTCCCTATCATCTGATATATGCTGTATGTTTTGGACATCTACTACTTCGCTTGCCTCTTTAAGAAGAAATCAAGTAGAAGCGTGGTAAATTAACTAAATTATTAGATGCTGAAAGAGCTTTAAAAATGAAATATGAAACGGGGGAATTCACGATATCTGGATGCAAGCATATTTAACACAGTTTAGATAGTAATAACAGAATTGTGCTTCAAAGTTTATACAGCACCAGAAATGATGTAGATAAGAAATCACGGACAAATTTTTGGATTAACGTATTGACGATGAGAATAAACACAATCTGTCATGGAAATAATTAAACAATGAAATATGTTTAGAGAACCCCACCATCCCGGCCATTTATCCCAGCAAAATTGGAGAAAATAACTAAAATTTCTACGACAGGATAAATTTAAAAAATCACGGACAAGTAAATGTAGCTTCTTAGTGTTAAAAAAGGTGAACTGATAAACTAGTTTGGAATCTGGTAACTGCTAAAATCACTAGCTCTGCTAGGCAGACACAGTTTTATTAAAAAAAAAAAAAATACACACATTACTTTCACGAATTGATGCTTAATCAGCCTATAAATTCTAAATTAGGATAGGAGGCAGAAAAAGGAATATACCTCTGATGGCATGTTTCTTGGCCCCCACATATTCTGTTGACATTTTCTTGAGGATATCTAAATCAAATTCCATACCCTGCAGATGCAGTTCAATCCACAAGCTTATTCAGAAAAAAACGAGGAGGAAAACTATGGGACCAACCGTGAGCATCGTAGAATCATTATACCTAAGGGTAACTATTTACAGGAAAGGAAAAGAAGGCAAAGCCTGCATGCAACTATTGATCTATTGAAACCTGAACAAAACCTTTACATCAGGAGTTATGCAACATACCATGTCCATATGGAGGAACTGCTCAATCCGAGTATCATCAAATAACCTGTTACTCAGAAGGAAAACAGTAGAAAAATTAAGACAGAGAAGATTTTGAAACCTGAAACCTGACTAATCATGCTGTTAGATTAGAATAAATTATATCATTTGTAGGAAACATACTTATTATATGCAACTTGCACACGGGCATCCTGCAACTCCGTGAGTTGCTTCACTGTCTCATTGACAGAGCTTTCATTTAAGTCCACAAATCCAAAGAGAAACGTGTTCTTTTCTAGCATCCTTTTGACCAAAGCAGGTACTACTTTTATGCCATGTTCTTTTGCATCTATAACAAGGTTCTTGAGTTTCTTCAGCTCCCCTGTCGGATAACAAGAGGAAATAAGATGATGAAAAAGAGAGAGAAAACTTCAGCTAATCATAGCTTCATTATTATTATGATCACTTAATTCACCTCAATATGATCGAGCATGATGAAAAGCAGAAAAATGCTTCCAAATGGAAGAGAATTCACACAAAGGAAAATGCTTACACATGTTTCCTTTAAACCTAAAAGTCAACTGATGAAAGAAACTAATCAAACGTTGACAATACAGCACAGAAACTCTGCTTGTTCATGGCTGAATACAGAGGTGGCCGCCCCAGAAAGAATTGAATGGCAAAGATGTTCATGACACCAATAATGACGTGTTAGAATAAGAGTTAGCAGAAGTAGTCTGCCTCAGGTAACTTCGTAAAGTTTAATCAATATCATAGTGGCAGAATTATTCAAAACAACTAAAAGTCACATAGTAATCTGTAATCAATTAGGTCTAGTAAGAAGAATCATAGAATTAATTTAGACGCCAATATGCACATGATTTGCCACTAAGCAAAATTAGAGCAACAACTTCATAATATGGCAAGGCACGTAGCACAACCTTATCAAAATAAACTAAACTCAAAATTAAGTACATCAAAGATAAATTTCATGGAGAGAGTGCAGATATACCAAGAGAGAGATAGATTTTGAAAGGAGGCTTGAATGGCTGAGTCTCATAAAGACAGTAAAGGCAATACAGGCCACCTAGCCTTTGTGATAAAGAAGAAGTGTTAAGCATGTGACCTGCAATTGATTGTATCTTGGTTAGCAAAACTTGCAATAAAATTTGAATTAAAAAAAATTCGTTATTTACATTTGAGGAGATAATCATCTAAATTCACTATGAGTATGGCGAGATCAAACAGGCTCTCACTCAAATATGTCTCCTAAAATCTGATGAACAAGCTACACGGCCCAAAAACTATCCAGTCCCAGATAGGATTTTTCCATCATTAGAAACGGACTTTATAAAATATAACCAAGGCAATAATTTCTGAACTGAGGAAAAAACTCACATCGACTACAAGATTCTAGCAAGAACATTTTCTCCAATGACTACAAAAAACCAGTAGGAGCTCACCAATTGTGTGTGCATACAACGACTGCATAAAGAAGGCCAAGTTGGTAGGAGGGCTAGCCTCAAAGATGTAGGTAAACTTCCTTGAAAGCCATACTCTTTTCATATCAGCCAAAGTTGTAAACTCACCCTAACAGTTCCCAAACACCACAACTGTTAAAAGAAATTAAAACACAATAACCCTGTCGGAAAACAAGAACTACACAAAATAAAAACATCCCAAAATTACAAATTTACTTAGTAAATACCTCAACAAACTCATTTATAAGCTCATCAATATCCAACTTGAATGGAGACAGATCCATTGCGCTGGACACTCTTCAAATCTTAAAACACAAGGGCTAAATTATCTCCACTATCCCTTTGGAATTACAAAACAATATCAACAAGAAAAATAAGAACTTAAGTAACTATTGTGCTCAATTTCAAGATTTTAAAGGAGAAAGAAAAGCAAGAAAGACAGTAAATTTATAGCTCTAAATGAACAAGAACAAACCCACATTAAGAATTGAATATATAATATCTTTGAACGAGTAAGACTAAATACCTTTGTAGAAAGAATTAAAAAGAGAATTTTTTTGGGGTTCATTTGAGTTTCATAAAGTTCCCATCTTCATTCATCTACTTGTTCAAAAAAATCAAATATTAATAGTTTTAGAAGCCAATAATTAAGAAAACCCAGAAATTTTCGAGAAATAACGAGACAGATATCGAATAGAAGAAGCCCAGCAACTTACGGGTAGCCTCCTCGCTTACTTAGAAGAGGCGCGTTAGTTTTTCCTCAATTTCAAACGTTCAATGTTTATAGGTTCCTTTTGTTTTTAAGAGTCCTCCTCGCTTACTTAGAAGAGGCGCGTTAGTTTTTCCTCAATTTCAAACGTTCAATATTTATAGGTTCCTTTTGTTTTTAAGAGTATTCATTGGGATTCGAAGTAATAAGCCTAGAGTTTGTTTTTGTTTTTTTGTTTAACTGATAAAATGAACCCAGGGAAAACAAGGGTTTAATGGTAAGGGATTAAAGTTTAAATTATTTATGGAATAAATTATAAATTAGTCCTTCTCAAAAAGGGTTTAATGGTAAGGGGTTCAAGTTTAAATTATTTATGGAATAAATTATAAATTAGTCCTTCTTTTTTTAAAAATGAATTAATTAGTTTCTTTTGTTTTAAAAATTAATCACTTGATTTTTTAAGTTTTCATTCTGTCAATGTTTTAGTTATTTCATTAGTTTTTTGTTAAATTAATAATTTTTTTCCAAATCACCTTTTTTTTAATGTTTTATTTTCTTTCTCTCCCCTCAATCCATTTTTTTTAAAAAAAAACATTTTAAAACAAAAATCATCAACTTAACAAAAAACGGATGAAAGAACTAAATTATTGAATTATTGGTAAAATTAAAACATAAAAGACTAAATGATTAGCTTTTTTTTAAAAAAAAACTAATTAATTTATTTTTTAAACAAGAGAGGCTAATTTATAATTTACTCATTATTTATGACAACTTTTTTCAATTCAAATTCGATATATATATGGCACCCAGCATTGCATTAAAAAGATCAATTGGATTTGATTTCACAAAAGTTGTCTATTTACAAATTATGTGGAGAGAGTGGTGCGTCCCTCCACTCGTGTGAGAAAAAATAGAGAATCAACTTTGGATAGTTAATCAAGCCGTCCTTTGACATATGTTCAATTTCACTCAACCATAACGCAAAATAAATAAATAAATAAATAAATAAAATAAAATAAAAAGAATCAAGCTTCAGTAAATAGGGTTTAGCATATACAAGTATGAACTACTACGGTCCAATGTCCATCCTGCCATTAGGTTTAGGAGCTACCCTAATCATCAGCATTCACCATCCTCGAAGCCTTTGTTTCTGCTGTTTCCATTGTGTCGTTAGCTGAACATCTATAGGACAACCAACCGCCTGTTTATGTTTAGCCTCGATAATAGACAATTGCTGCAAGCTAGCCAAGAGCGTATCCAAAAGTTTTGGTCAATTAAGAGTCACAGGAAACAAAGTAAAGGGACTCAAGACATCAGAAAAGCTATTATAGAGATTTAAGTTCTAGTGTTCATGCAATCTAGATCAGAATCTAGCCTAATGGCGAAGTCGAAGACTATGATCGAGACTAATAAGAAACCTACAGCCTCATGTGAGCACTAAGATCTAAGATCCTCCACTTTCACATGAGCGTTTGAAACTTCTGTAGCAGATCTGTACTGAAGCCAGTCCTTAGCACAAACAAGGGCTTCCACGGTTTCAGGTCTCAAAGAACTCCTGTACGGATCCAGCTTTTTGACCTCGGTATCAAATACAGAGTCAGGAGCGGCAGTAGAAACCTGCATGGTCAAAATATCACGGGCCATTTTTGAAAGAGTTGGATATTGGAGCTTGTTCTCATCCCACCATTTCAACACATCAATCTCTTGGACGCGAGGCAACAAAGACTCCTCTAAATACTGCTCCAGCTCTGACTTCGTATTTTGGCTAGTAGTCTCCACATACGCATCAAAATCTGTAAGCTCATTGTCTGAAATTTCTCCTGTCTTCATGTTGTTCTCAATCTTTCCACTTTCAGCATGGGCTGGAGTAAGATGGAGAGGAAGTGTCTCATATTCAAGAAACAGCTCCTGGAGTGCTTCATCAACAATCTTAACGTATTTGCCAGCTTCTTCACCATAGAATTTCATAAAACTGAACTCAATCAACTTCATCCTAAACCGAGGATCCATGACTACAGCAATTGCCAAAGCCAGGATGCACTCCTTTAAATATTTGTCAATCTTTTCTTGCATTATTCCAGCAAGACTGATGACAAAGGGATCGCCATGACTTGTAATAGAATGATACAGCTCATGCATCTTCCAGACTTCGTGAAAGAATGTCTTTTGGTTTGGGTTAGTTCTAGAGGCAAGGAAGTTGGCTGCATCAAAGAGAGGTTTCAAGTACGTGCATATAATGTCAATCCGCTTCCAGTCTTCCATGGAGGGAGCCTCTTTGTAATTAGGATCACACGTATCTAAGCAAGAAAATACTTCCTTTAACTCTGAAGCAGCGACCAGCATCTGATAAGTTGTGTTCCATTGAGCTTGGTTGTCAAGAGATAGGTCTTTTTCACTGGGGACTTGAAGCTGTTGCTTGAGCTCAAGGAACTTTTCCTCATGGGATTCTGAGGTCTTCACATACTTTACACTGTAACGGACTTTCTTAACGATCTCTCGCCCTGCCCATAGCACATCTTTTGCGAAGTTGCTTAAAGTACGAGCACTGCATTTCCCAAGCATTAACTGACCATTGATGATAAAGGGATTTTTGACACAGATTAGAGATCTGAGGTTTTCGAGCCCAGGTTCCCCTACTGGATGATTGAAAGTGATAGAAAATAGCTTGCTTTCCAAACTCCAATCAGATAGGCAACGAGCAACAGCATGACTAAGAGCTGCATCTGAGTCGGGATATGGTTCCATCACAACATTCAGAATCCGCCTCTGAGGCTTCCAATCACCGTCAATGAAGTGCCCTGTTATAAACACATAGCCCAAGCTTTCGCTAGAAGTCCACACGTCCAATGTAAGGCAAACACGCCCAGGCATACCCTCAATAAACTTCATAACTTTTTGCTTTTCCCTCAAGAAACTTGAGACACAATCTCCTTGGACTATATTAAAGCTCACCATGCCAAATCTGGGTTCAAGACTCTTGACAAAAGTTAGAAATCCAGAATGTTCGACCATGTGAAGAGGATAGTCATGCATTATCATCATTCTAGCAATTTCATCTCGGCAACGGTCTGAATCAAATGAAATGTAAGCTGAGCTATGGGATCTGTGACGACGTCTTGGTGGATCAGACATACTGCCATTTCCACCCACTCCAGGTGTACCTGGTGTTTGTTGATTCCCCTGATTGCGTAGTAGTGCTAGACAAGTTCCCTTGGCAACATGCCGTTTAAGATGGCTGGTACCAGCTACTTTTGAACCCGTGCTGTATGCAAAGCTTTGCCTGCACTGCTTACAGAATGCCCTTCTAGATTCAGCGCTTACAGTTTCTATGGTGAAGTGTTCCCAAACCATCGACTTCCTTTTCCTCTGCTTGTTAGGCTGTGTTTCAGGCGCAGGCATCGAGTGATTATTCTCTTCAAGGGTTGCCACCTGGTACTCTGGAGTACTAATTAGCTGATTATTCTCTTCAAAGGTCACCATGTGGTATTCTGGAGTACCAATCAGTTGATTATCCTCTTCAAGGGTTGCCATCTGGTAATCTGGAATTGCAATCAGGTGATGATTCTCTTCAAGTGTTGCAATCTGGTTTTCTGGAGTAGTAATTAGCTGATTATTCTCTTCAAGAGTTTCCATCTGGTCTCAAAAATTGAATTCCCACTTTATGCAAAAAAAATAAGAAGTGAGCAGCACATTTAGTTTAGGAATTGACCACAGCATAAAAAACTGACTTCAATGTAGTGATTATCGCAAATGAATTTCATGCAGGACGCATGGTGAGTTTAAATTGCAAGGACATATACTCAAATAGAATAGGTTCAACATGTAATGCAGAGAACCATTGGTACACATGAGCGAAAGCAAACAAACTAAATCAGCACAAAACATTACTATCTCTGAGATTCTACCAGTCAATATAATAGCATATTATTACAGAATTAGTTTAAATTACACGGGTGGAAGACTAGCGAAAGACAACAAGGTACGGATAAATCAGGCACTTTGAAACAAGTAAATCTTAAAAAATGTCATCTGATTCAGAAGGCAAGCCTGGAATTTGAATAAATCTTTAGGTACAGCAAAATCTTGCACACAATAGCTCAGCCATGTAACAAGGCCTGGACCATTGTTTTGTTATTGCTATACCATGCAAAAATTAACACAAGTTCAGCAGGTCCAATGTGCCTGCCTTACAGAATCCACAGGTTTCTTATATCATACAAACAGCAGATGCATGATCGCCAACTTTAGGTTCGGTTGATCTTTTATGAGACTGGGATCTGGGTCCGTGAGAGGAAGGACTTGATGGTAAAGAAATAAATCCAAAATTAATTTTCACCAACATCTTAAAACAAACAACAAAAGTTAATGTAAATATCCTCAATTTCCAATCTTAGTTTCTATACCTACCCGTAATATCAAACTCTTATGGTAAGGTACATGTTCAACGCATACACTATCCATATTCCACATAAACTAAACCACTCCACCTTCTCAAACTACAAGCAAGGCCTTCTATACTACATTATATATATCCTGATGCTGTTTAAGCTACAAAGGCCTGGCTTTCCTGCGTGCTTAATTACCTAAATCCTAATCCACCATTCCCCAATCCCCAGTAAACAGGTTATAAGACCTACTGGTTGAAGGACAATGGCCCAATAAACTAGCTTTCTATCAAGTGCTATGTTTGATGCCTTCAACACAATATGGGCTCTGCATGGAACTGACATGATCAGGTAGGTCCAATATTAAGATTCTTGTTTTAAGGGACCCAGTCTCAGGGTCAAAACGGGTACTTTCTAACCCCATATAAACAAGCTAAACTGTAAAAACAGAACAACAAGCCCGGATCAACAAGAAAAGAAGAGGATCCAGTAAACCAAAAATAAATAAATAAATTTGTAAAGGGATCCGCACGGGTCGAAAGACTCAAAACAAGTATCATTGGTCTTTGCAAACGGCAAACTAGAAAAACGAAAAACAAAGCTATGGTCATAAACGGGAAACAGAAAGGAAAGGAAAACAAACCAAGTAATCAAGAACATAACACATCTTCTTTAACAAGAATAATAACAATTAAAGACAGGCCCAGATTAAAACAGAACAAACCCATAAATTAATCATTAAAAAGGAGACAAATTTAGCATGTCATCATTAATAAACAAAATTAACGTGTCATAATCATCGTAAAATTACCAATAATTCCCTAACCAATCTAGAAAAATTTCACGAACCAATGACATATCCCTTAATCAAAAAAGAAAATCTCACTAACTATTGACTTATGACAATCAAACAAAAACCCAGAAAACAAACATAGAATAAGAAAAAAGGAGTAAAACTCGGAAAATCGCAAGAGTTAGACGAAACAAAATAAATTAGGTTTAGGGATATGGTTTTTACCGGTTGTAAAGAAGAAAGATTCGATCTTTGAACTCGTAAGAAGCGCCGGCGGGACGCTCCGGCAGGTCTCTGCAAAACCCTAGAATTTGCAGCGGGAGAGGGAGAGGGAGAGAGAGAGAGAGGAGAGAGATCGATTTTGGGCTTGAAAGCAAACCCAAAACCCTAATTGGACCTTAAAAGGAAAAGTTTTGTTTAAGGATTCGAAACTTTTAAGAAGACAGGAAAGGAGACGATGGTTTTTTTATATGTGGACTTTAGGGTCCATTGTTGCTGTCAAAATACTGCTAGAAATAAAATTATGGTGACCTATGGAATACGGACTCAGCCCACCGTCCCTTATTTTGGTACGTGTGAATTTAGGACTTTTTCTTGTTTTGGGAAGGAAAGTGGCAGGCATACATAGCCCACATAAGGATTTTTGTTCTTTTCTTATAGTCATTCTTTAGAATTAGGGTTCGGACTAATCCGAAAAGATTGGTTTTTGTCTTGTGGTTGAAAAATTTTGTTTTATTTTTTGATTTTTTAGGTGTAAATCTTGAGTCAGTATTTAGATTAATTTTTTCTAAATATACAAAAACTATCAATAAAATCATATTCCAATAACTAGAGCAATTTGTTTTGAACTGAAAAAAAGGAAAAAAAGGTTAATAGACCCGTAAAACTCCCAAGGGAAAGTCCAAATTAAACTATATGTGATGCACTTGAAATCTTATGAAGAAGAGGCAGAGGATTGAAAATGAAGCACTTATACTGTCACATGGCATCAACACAACACAAGGAATTAAGGAAAGAGTAATGTAGTGGCTGATCTGTATGGCATTTGCTCAACCAGGCTAGAGAATTTCCAGCTTCTACAAAGACCAGAATACCAAGAATTCTGCGCAGTTTCTTGGAGCAAACTGGTATGTGAAGTCTGAACTAAGCAGCCTACGTAAAATGGGAAGTTTTGATATTTTAACTCTTTCAGTCTCCACCAATTCAACATGTCTAACTCTTGCAAGCTAGGCAACAAAGGCTCCTCCAAACACTGATCCAGCTCCGACCTCGTACCTTGGCTAGCAGTGTTCTCCACGATATACATGTCAAAATCTGCAAGCCCCATCGTCTGAAAGAAGAGTTCCCTGGCTATCTTCTGTCTTCTTCTTGTCCTCAAATTTTCTGCCTTCATCAACATATTCAAGAAACAGTTCGTGAAATTCATCGTCAACAATCTCAACATATTTGTCACCTTCTTCACCAAATACTTTTCCCTTTACAAAAGCGAAGCAATCAGCCTCATATTAAACCGAGGATCCATGACTACAACAATTGCCAAAGCCAGGATGCACTTCTTTTTGTAAATCTTTTCTCGCATTATTTAACAGAATGATACTGCTCATGCATCTTCCAGACTTCGAGAAAGAATGTCTTTTGGGGTGGGCTAGTTCTATACATCTATAGGCAAGGAAGTTGGCTAAATCAACGAGAGGTTTAAAGAAAGCGCATATAATGTTAACCCGCTTCCAGTCTTCCATCGAAGGAACCTATTTGTAATCAGGATCAGAAGAATCTAAGCAAGAAAATACTTCCTTCAACCCTGAAGCAGCAACCAGCATCTCATATGTCATGTTCCATTGATCTTGGCTGTCAAGAGACGGCCTTTTTGTCACTGCCTACTTGAAGGAAGTTTTTATCTTGTGATTCAGAACTCTTCACATACTTTACACTCCAATGGATTTTCTCAATAGTCTCCAGCCCTGCCGATAACATACCTTCTGCAAAGCTTTTTAAAGTACGAGCACAGCTATTCTTTCTTTACCCTCAATTTTTTTTACTTTTCTATTATTTTTATTTTTATTTTATATTTATTTTCCTTTATAAAATAACTTAAGCTAGTTATTCTTTGAATATTACAAAATTTCTCATTTGAAGACAAAAATAACAAGATTTAATTCTTTTTAATAAATAAAATTCATACATATTAATAAAGAAAATTATCTGAAATTAACTCTTTTATTACTGAATCAATGACAAGAGAACACAATTTCGAGCTTGAAAGTAGACCGAAAGAAATTAGGTTAGGCGTTTTTACCGGTGCATACCAAGAGAAAACTATTTTGGGCTTCAAAGAAATCCAAAACCCTAATTGGATCTTAAAAGGAAGGCCATTTTGGGCTTGAAAGTAACCCAAACCCTAATTGGATCTAAAAAGGAAGGTTTTTGTTAAGGACTCGGACACTTTGAAAGTTTTCATGGTTGCTATTAACCCACCGCCTCTTGAATTGCTACGAGTGAATTTAGGACCTTTTCTTGTTGTTTAGGGAAAGGTTCGTAGCCCACAGAGTAGCCCACATGTGGACTTTCCTTTTTCTTACTGTGATTCTTTTGAATCCAGCTAGGGTTAGGAGTTAGGACGTGGGGTTAGTCATTTGATGATAGATTCTTTCTAACAATTTCTAGCCTCTATATATATAATTATCCAAAGGGAGAAGAGCATTCTTTTCTCTGAATAGAAAGGAGAAATGTTAGCAATGGAAGAAACGCAAGCATCTATTGATTTTGTATTGTAGACGTGTGACACATCCCAAGTGCTTTTAGTACACACTCTAAACAAAAAGTTTTTTTCGGAGAAATCTCAATTTTTTTGTTTGTGATATATCATATTGTTTTCGATTTGGTTCCAGTTTCCAATGTAATAAATTTTTATCTCCAGCATATTAGATTGTTTTCATATGAGTATTTCCATCTAAAAGCATTATAATTTTAATTGAAAAGAACCGAATTGTCTTAAAAATAGCATCATTTTTATTACATAAAAAGTATTAATGGATATAGATGTAAAGACTCAATTTAGGAATGTTTAATACTTTAGAAATCCAATAGAAAAGAATTTCTATTTAGGGATTGAATTGAAAATTGATCAATAAATTTGGGATTGATCTGAGTTTATCCCTTTGCATTAAAAATAAAAAGAGTAATGCCAAATATTAGAACACATATATGTCGCTATATTAGTGAAAACTACAATTAGATCCGTTTTAAGATCGTGATTTCACTGTTTATGTGTATTTTTGAGTTTTATGATTAAAAATAAAAAGAACAATGTTAAACATGAAGAAAATATGGCAAGCAAAAACTCTGAAAACACACATGGGCATACAGTGAGATCAGGAACGTTCAATGAAAACCTGGGAAGAAGGCATATGAGTTCAAAGTTAAGTACATATACTCTCATATGGGCACCTTCACCTTACATGGATACTTCTGTTCGTTTTATTTTTGGTTTCATACAATCACTACTCATCATTGCCATTTCTGTTTTCTGTTCATACAAGTTATCTGTATTTCATTCAGTCCTCAATTCCGTCATCGACTTTTAGCATCCAGCCATGATAGATTGTAGTACCTTTCAGGCAAATCTGCAGAACATGGATGTCCATGTTCTACAACAAGGAACTAAAAGGCCATGCCAACAGTAACGAGGCTGACAAATTTAAATCAGAAAAGCTACTCTAGAAATGTCAGTTCTCACGTCCAAGCAATCCGGATAATCCTATTCAATGATGCATAGATTACACAAAGTAGCCTAATAGTCAAGGAGAAAACTAGCAACATCTACCATAAATCTACAAGCATAGACATGTAAACGCTAGATCTAAGACCCTACTTTCACAATCGCATTTGAAATTTAAGCAGACGCAGCAGACCCGTACTGAAGCCAGTCCTTAGCGCACACAAGGGCTTCCACTGTCTCGGGTCTCAAAGAACTCCGGTACTGATCCAGCTCTTTGATCTCGGAATCAAATACAGAGTCGGGACCAGCAGAAGATACCTGTATAGTCAAAATATCACGAGCCATTTTGGAAAGAGTTGGATACTTGAGCTTGTTCATTTTCCACCAGTCCAGCACATCCAACTCCTGCAAGCGAGGCAATAATGACTCCTCCAAATACTGATCCAGCTCTGACCTCGTATTTTGGCTAGTAGTCTCCATGATATACATATCAAAATCTGTAAGTCCATGGTCCGAAAGAAGAGTTCCCTGGTTATCTTCTGTCTTCACGTTCTCAAAATTTCCATCTTCGGCATAAGTTGGAGTAAGAGGTAGAGGAAGTGCAACATATTCAAGAAACAGTTCATGGAGCCCATCATCAACAATCTTAACATACAAAGGAGCTTCATCACCAAAGATTTTCGAGAAACGGAACTGAACCAACTTCATCTTAAACCGAGGATCCATTACTACTGCAACTGCCAAAGCCAAGCTGCAATCTTTAAGATATTTGTCAATCTTCTCTTGCATTGGTTTAGCAAGACTGCTGATAAAGGGATCCTCACTCACTACTGCACGAGACAGCTCATGGATCTTCCATAGTTCATGAAAGAATGTTATTGGAGTTGTACTAGTTCTGGAGGTAAGGACATTGGCTGCATCAAAGAGAGGTTTCAAGTATGTGCATATAATCTCAACCTGCTTCCAGTCTTCCATGGATAGAGCCTCTTTGTAATCAGGATCAGAAGTATCCAAGCAAGAAAATACTTCCTTTAATTCGGAAGCAGCAACCAGCATCTGATATGTTGTGTTCCATTGTGTTCGATTGTCAAGTGACAGACTTTTTTCACTGGGGACTTGAAGCTGTTGCTTGAGCTCAAGGAACTTTTCCTCGTGAGATTCTGAAGTCTTCACATACTTAATGCTGTCACGGATTTTCTTGATGATCTCTCGCCCTGCCCATAGGACATCTTTTGCAATGCTGCTTAAAGTACGAGCACTGCAGTTTCCAATCATTAATTGGCCATTGAAGATAAGGGGATTTTTGACACAGAGAAGAGATCTGAGGTTTTCACGCCCAGGTTCACCCACTGGATGATTGAAAGTGAAAGAAAATAGCTTGCCTTCTAAACTCCAATCAGATAAACAACAAGCAATAGCATGGCTGATTGCCATATCTGAATCAGGATATGGTTCCATCACAACATTGAGAACCCTCTGCTGCGGCTTCCAATCACTATCAATGAAGTGTCCTGTTATGAACACATAACCCAGGCTTTGGCTAGAAGTCCAAATGTCCAATGTAAGGCAGACACGTCCAGGCATGCCCTCAACAAACTTCATAATGTTTTGCTTCTCTCTCAAGTAAGTAGCAATACAATCCCCTTGGACAGTATTGAAGCTTACCATGTCAAACCTGGGCTGAAGATTCTGGACAAACGATACAAATCCAGAATGTTCGACCATGTGAAGAGGGTAGTCATGCATTATCATCATTTTGGCAATTTCATGGCGACAACGGTCTGAATCAAATGAAATGTACGCTGAGCTGGGGGATCTGTAGCGACGTTTAGGTGGATCAGACATACTACCATTTCCATTCATCCCAGGGGTAAATGGCGATTGACTCCGTAGTAGTGCTGGGCAGGTTCCCTTGGCAATATGACGTTTGAGATGGCTGGTACCAGCTACTTTTGAACCGGTGCTGTATGCAAAACTTTGCTTGCACTGGTTACAGCTCGCCCTTCTACATCCAGGACTTACAGTTTCTATCGTGAAGTGTTCCCAGACTATGGACTTCTTCTTCCGCCGCTTATTAGGCTGTGTTTCTGGAGTAGTTTCAGGAACAACCATCAGCTGATTATTCTCTTCAGGAGTTGCCATCTGGTCTCAAAAAGTGACTATGCAGTAAAATAAGAAGTGATAGCAGGTTAGTGTATGATTTTGCCTACAGCATAAAAAATTGACTTCAATATAATCATAATCGCAAATCATTTCAACGTGGCAGCTTTGCTAGAATATAATGATAATATAAAAAAAATTGAATGCTGCTCAAATTGCACAGACTTATACTCGAATTCAATAAGAAAACATGAAATGCAGATAAAACGTGACGCATAGTCATGAACCCAAACAAATAAAGCTGAATCCAAACAAAACATTATAACTCCTGAGATAGTAACACTCGAAGTAAATCATTATACACTCAATGGAAATGTGTGACTGCTGAATTAATTTAGATGTCATTGGTGGGAAGTCTAGTGAAAGACAACAGATAGGAATAAGTTAACCATTTCAAAACAATAAATGGTGGTTAGACCAAATGTAACAAGGGATAACTAGTATTAGAATAAATGTAAAAAGGCAGCTCAGCAGTATCATCATGCGAACACTAGCCCAAGTCATCTGATAATGCCCGGATCACTGTAATAATATTATAAGAACGCATAAATTAACATACAACCAGCCTACAGTCTAAATTCACAGCTTTCTGATGATATTAAACTGTTACGGCAAGTAACTGTTCAAAACACTTAATACCAATAATCCATAGGTACCTAAATCCACCTCTCCAGTCTGGACAAGGACAGGCCACAGGTCCTATAACTACAAGGCCAAGACTTCAACATATGTGGTATGCCTGTCTACTAGTGCCAGCAGCCACTGGCCAACAGACAATAACCATAATAAACTGATTATGAGGCCACCAGGTGCAGAACCATGGGCCACCAAGCTAGCTTTCAAGTTTTGACCACGAGCGACCCCTTTGGGCCACATGGGGAGTCTTACGATAATTGTAGGTCCAATAATAAGGTTCTTCAAAAAGTTTGTATTAAGGGATCCACAGGGGTCAGGGTCAAAATGGGAATTCTTGCCCATTATAAACAGATTAAAACGGTTCAGTAGAAGAAAAAACAGATCTAGAGTTTGATTTTGCTGGGCTTCACAATTCAGCAATATGAAGATAGAAAACAAGCCCAGAACAAAAACAATAAATTGAGAACGAAAACAAAAACCAGTTACTAACAAGTCATCAACAAGACACCGCTCCCTTTTGACCAAACACTATAACAATTAAAAGAAGAAATCACAAGCCCAGATCAAAACAGAGTAAACCCATCAATTAATCATTAAAATGTAAACAAATTCAACATGAAATTATCATTAACGAAACGAATTTGACATGAAATCACTGAAAACACAACCAATAATTCATCGATCGCGAAAGTAAAGCTCGCTAAATACCATTTTACCAACAAACAAACAAAACCCAGAAGACCAAACACAGAGAAACAACAGAGAGACTCGAATTCAAACAAGAGCACAAGAATCACAACCACTAGGCAAAAAACTCGAAAAGTTAGGGCTATGGTCTTTTACCGGTGAAAACGAGGGAAAGATCCGATCTTTGAGCTTAAAAGAAGCCCAGGAAGAGATCTCCGATGGGTCTCAGGCAAGATCTAGGGTTTTGCAGAGAGATCTTGATTTGGGCTTGAAGCCAAACCCGAAACCCTAATTGGACCTAAAATTGGGGGAAAACAGACCTTTTTGTTTTAAGAGATAAGGGGTTAGTTTGGTTTGGGACTGAGACAGAGTTTTGAGAGAGAGAGAAAAGAGCGAAGGGTCAAAATTTTTCATTTTTGGACTTTAAGGGTCCAGAGAGGTTGTTGTTGTTGTTGCTGTTGTTAAATTAGAATTATTTTGTTACTTATTAAAACGGACCACCAAAGCCCACATCTTTCTTACACATGACAACAAGACATAGCCATTCCTGTCTTGGTACGTGTGTGTAAGAATTTTGAATGTTTAGGTTTTGCACAAGGAAGGTAGCCCACAGGAATGGATTGTTAATGGCCTGCCTTTTGTTTATTGGGTAAAGGGACCCACTTTTGGGTTTTTCCATTTTTTTCGGTTTTTGCTTTGCTTCTCTCCAGTCTCTGCCAGTTTAGCCCAACGAGAGGAAAAGTTGGTGGCGCCAAGGAGTTTGAAAGCCACCTTTCCATGGTGACAAGACATGCTTTCTTGTGAGGCTTGTTGTGTGACAAGGCATCTTAAAATGGAGTTTCTTCTACGAGTGTCCTAAGTCTTGACCCATGATCCAGTTAGGTGAGCAATCCAAGGGTGATGATGTATTGTTGCCTTTGATTATTTGAGAAATTAATGTTTGCCTAATCAAATGATTTAAATTTGTCAATGTGGCCTGTTTTTAGTGAATGGAAAATGAATCCATTTTGATCATTGAGAAGTGGTCCAAGAGAACGTCAAATCAAAATTAACAAAGAAGCACATTAGTCTAATGACATGATAGAGATTTCGAATTAGGTGTGACTTAATCCAAGTTTGATCATCTTGGATTGGACCTAATTTGCATCCACCAAGTGGCAAAGAGAAAAAAGAGCTCATTCCTATTCCTATTCTAACAACGAGAAGTATATAACACATGAGGAAGGTCCAAAAGGACCAAACCATGACCTCCTTGACAATTAGGAGTAACAAATTTCCTTCATTCAACATGTCTCTAATTTCCTTTCATAAAAATTCAAAACCCAATTGCTAAAGAAGACGTACTATTGCCTTGCCTTTGCTTCTTCCTGTGTGACCCAAATACCCTAGAACGGATGCCACTTGCTTTTAGCTGTTTGGTGTAGGCAAATAACGGCGGAGTCAGATCCCCAGACACCGCACCATATGAAATTTTCAAGAAGCATGGGCCTGGGGACCCAGCTTGACCTAGCAGCCATTTCCTAGCTCGAGCTCGATGTGGGTTGGCCTATAAAGTATACACCTATTGAGGGTTCAAACTTTTTTCCTTTTAAATCATTCAGCATAGGCAAATTTATTGCTCTCTGCATTCTACCTAAACTACCAAAAAGGAAAAAAATTAACTTTGAAAATCATACCAGCATTTAAAAAATGTCATTATAAAAATCATTTTCATACCAATAGGTGTGCATAGCTTATTATATTAGTGATAGCATTTTTTAGTAAATTGTTTAAGAAATATAATCCAGTAAAAGTGAATTTTGTTAAAAGGGAGAAGAAAGGAGAAGGAAAAAAAAAAGCAAGGGCAAGAATGTAACTGGACTGCACCACTGAGTGGCATAACAATAATTAAGCAAATAATATAAGGGTTTTAAATTGACAATTGAAAAAGAGAAAAAAAGTGGCTGAGAAATGGAGGAAGCAGATGAAATACAAGAAAAAATGAACGGCTGAAAGGCATTGAGAAGAGCAATACAATGTGTATAAGCCACAATACATAGTGACTTTTGGTGTTGCTTTGCAGTAAATGAGTAGCAAACAATCGAAAAATTTTATAATACACAAGGAGTAACTAGTGACATGCTAGTTACTCCTTAGATTCACTTTTAAGAGAGAGATAAACACATAAAAAAAAATTATATCCATATCACATCAAAAGTGATAAGAAAATTTTTACGTCCGTTCAAATTTTTTTATTTTCTCTTTCTTTTTTTAAAGTGAGCCCAAAGAAGTAACGATTCTACGTATCACTGAGTTACTACTTATGTATTATAAAATTTCTCATAAACCATCCATGTCTTTTTCTTTTTCTTTTGGTAATAAGCACACCTATTGGTATGAAAATGATTTTCTGTTTTTATTATTTCTTTTAGTTCACGATGAGAAGAACAACTAAAAAGTTGAAAAAGAGGTTTCGCAAAAGCTAATCCTACCACATGTTTCGCAACTCATAAGAATCACAAAATTAGATAAACCATGGAGGTTTTCGCAGCTTCATTTTGAGTTCTTTGTGAGAACTTTATCTTAGGATAAGCCACATAGGTCCCCCCATTTGAGGCCATGATAATGACTATTTGGGATCTCTTTCATGTAATGAGAAACAAGCTTAGCTAGCTAGAATTGTAGGGGAAAAATACATAAGCCTTTACAGGCATCACGCTGACTTTACAGCCATTACTTTGGTCAATTATGCTAGCAAAATAAAAAGCAATTCTTAATTAGCTTGCCTAAAAAACCCAATATATTTGTTTTATTCTTAATTAGACATTACGCTGACTTTACTGCCATCACTTTGGCTAATTAAGCTACCAAAATTAAAAGCGATTCTTAATTAGCTTGCCTAAAAACCCAATTTAATTTGTTTAATTTTTAATTAGCCATTACACTGACACGGCATGGGAAAATAATGATAGTAAAAACTAAAATTTCTTGCTATTTTAGATTTTAATGAAATTTTGATCGAAAAAAATTATACGTATTAATATAATTAACAAAATTTTAATTTGTGTATTTCTTATTCGATATTGAAATTAAGACATACTAATATTATTAAAAAGGGCAAAATTTATGTTTTTTTTTATACGGGAAGTCTTTATTTTATTATTTTTATTCTTCTTGTTAGCAGTAATTTATTTATGAATTAAAGATTTTGCACTTTGCACCGACAATCTTAATAATTACAAAGACTTTGATTTCCATCACTGTAGTGATATTATATACAAATGATCAACCGCACGTTGGCTTTGTTTTTTTTTTTTTTTTTTTGTTTTTTTCCCCCATAAATTAGGACTTTTTAGTCCACAATTAGATAAAAGGTAGATTGAATTAGCTATCACCGTAAAAATGAAGTGTTATTTTGTCTCTCTCTTACAACATGAAGGGTTTTTAAATTCAAATACTCCAAATAAAATATTCGAACCTATGAATTAATAAATTGTTGGTCCAATAGTAAGTGAATTGATTTTCAGACGAATTTCATGTCAATATATAAGATTCGAATTTTAAAATCGTATTTGTTAAGAAGAGTTAAATCTTATCTATCTTGTTCCGAATATGATTAGTCCGATTTTCAATATATGATTAAAATATCTAAAAGAAAATAGACCTATGACCTCTTATAAATTTAAAAAGTTCACCGTTATTAAATCATAAGCATATTAATCAGACAGGTTATCTTGAAACAACAATTTCAAGAATATTCAATGTTTCTACGTTCTTAAAAATGCAAATTCTTACATAAATAAGGAGTAATTTCTTTTGGGCACTCTATAGCCGCACGCATATGTCAAATGCCTTTCTAAGTTAGTTTAAGGACATTAATTTGGCATAAACGTTGTTGAATCCAAAACTACATCAATGAAATTCTATCTATAAATTAGTATTCCATTAAAGTTATCATAAACACTATTTAACATATTCAATAAAGCTATTTATTTTATCCTTAAGCTCATCGAGCTCGTCTTAGGTCAAGTCACCTTCAATAATGAATCATAGCCATCTAAGGTCAATTGAACACAATTTTTTAAGTGATCAAGAGGAACAAAACACCCTAAGACAGTTAATCTTGGCTAATAGACATGTGCATCTTCCATTGACTTGTGTGCTCGTGAATTGGATGAATTAGGAGAGTAAGCAGCAAATATTATAATAATTATTAAGAAGAAGTAACTAAATAAATAATGTGAAAATAAAAGGAGCTGGCTAACTAAGCATGGGAGGAAGCCATAAATTGGGAAGGGGAAAGACAAAGTTGTGGGTTAAATCAAATAGACAAACCTCCTTTCAATCTTGTCGGGCATGTGTTGAGAGTAGAGAGAAAAGTGCCAGTGATATATACTGACAAAAGAGAACATGCATTTCCATGCAACTGTCGCCATTTTTATTCACATGCTATACAGCCTATTAGTTTAACTCATAATTCATCTTTTTTATTTTATTATGCAAATTGCAAGAAGAAAAAAGCACAAAAAAAAGAAAGATAATTTTAAAAAAAAATCCATTATTTTTTATAGTAAAAATATTTATCCATTGGAAACAAGTGAACGTGGAAACCGAAAACAAAGAAAGAAAAGAAAAAAGATTGCAAATTGCAATAGCCCATTCCATAAGATAACATTCAATAATTGATGACAAATACAAATAATTTTTTTTTTAATACAGAGAATACCATTTTAAATAGTTGCAATTGTTAGAGAGTATATTTTCATTAGAAATGGCATGAGTCGGAAAAAGTAGCTACCTAGTTACGGACAACATAAGTCATTTTCGATCGTATAACACTTCCAAAAACTCAATTTGTATATTTATTTTATTTTAACGTTAATAAATCATGTTTAACTTTGTGTGTAATTTAAAACAAAATTAATATATTATAAATAAATTCTTTTATATATATATATAGACGGGTGAACCTTTGTCTTTAAAATCTTTAAAAAAGAATAAAAATCTATTTTACTTTCGAAAAAAAAAAGTATTGAATATCATTGTAAATACAACGAAATAAACCAGAGTTATTAAAAAATATATTTTACTTTCGAAAAAAAAGTATTGAATATCATCGTAAATCATTAAATAACAATAACAACGAAATAAACTAGAGTTATCAAAAAGTCAATTTCTAATGGCCACAGTTTATCTACTGTATATAATCTAAAATCTGTTGAATTTTTTACTGAATAAAAAAAAGATGTATGTCTAGAAGCACCCAAAAGTACAATCAATTAGATGGATCAATTACAACAAAATTTAAGTCACGTCACTTCAATGGTTTCTGATGTTGATGGACCAACAACATTGACAAGCCAATACAATCGAAGGGAATGAATAAAAAATCTTCTTGTGTAATTCACTAGTAATTATTGATTCATTTAGACTGATGGTTATTCAGCTAATTAATAGGATTAATTGTTTATCATGTTATCCATACTAACAAGAAATTGAATAAAAAATATATGAAATCGTGGTAACCAAATCTAAAAATATTTAAAATTTAATTTTAGATTTAGAATAAAAAAGATTTAGATTAATTCATGGAGATTAATTAAAAATCCAAAATTTAAAATTTTAAAAATTAAATAATAATTATCCAAATAAAAAATCAAAAGGTAATATGCTCTATATCACTTATAATATATATGAAAGCATCCCAATGCAAGATTCAAAATTTTAATTATTTGAATAAGACGATAGCTTACGAGATAGAGATTAAAAAAGTCATATTTGTAATTGAAAGATTTATGAATTTTTGTTCATCGATCAAAAGCATTGTAGCATTGTAGCAATTGGGTAACTAAGACATTATATATATATATGGCCATCCATACATCCATCTATCCAATCATGGTTGGCGGGTGGCTTGTTTCGAGTTTAAGTTTGTTATTCGTCTGACTAAATTAAATACACAACACGTTTAATTTTTATTTGATTATTAAATTTTCTCTTCAATCAAACTAATTCAAATCTATTATCATTAAAAAATAATCATAATTAATTATTCGTGAATAATAAAAATTGAACACTAATTTTTGCTAAATCAAGACAATCTTTTATCGATAGATCACATTTTTTATTAATTAATATAATTTAAATTAGCATATGTCAAAAAACACAACGGTAGTCAATGGTAACTGGATGACTCAAGATTCTCATCTTCTATTTAACACTCTCAAATAATATGTGTATATATTCGTTGGTCGATGAACGTAAAAATGCCCTAATTTGTACAATGTCTTGATATTAATTATAATGAAATAATTAAAATTAACTTATAGGCTTTTAATCTAGGAGTGATAAGCTTCTTGCACTCGCAAAAGATCACATATTCAAATCTTCTTTTCAAAGTACTTGAGCTTTTTTTTTAAAAAAAAAAAATTCCATTATAAGAAGAGGCTAGAGTAGCCTCTCATATTTATAGTCTCATATTTATAGTGGTGATCAATTCAGTTCATCATAATAATATAATTATTTACCTTGCTAATTACTAATTATTAATGCTAACTTTTTTGCTCCTAACATCCCTATCTATGGCCTTGCTTTAAACTGAAGATAAGAAAGATGGAAAACATTATTATTATTATTGTGTTAAATCAAATCAAATCAAATAAAAGAAAGTTTGGGGAATGAAAAGATGGGGTTAAGCATAGTGATTGCCAGCTATATATGTTAAACCTGAATCTACCAACTCCCAAGTGCATGCATACATATGTAAATTAATATTATGTTAAGTGTCTAAGCCTTTAATTTGACACCCTCACTTTTGTTGTAACATTGATCGATATAGCTTGGAATTTTCCGCTTTTTTATGTTTTCATGACATTTTGATGTTACTTTTTACGCATCAAATCTGATTCTATGTTAATTTCCGATTAGCAAAAAAAAAAAAAACTATTTACAAAATTAAATAGATTTGTAAGAATTTCATCTATCACAAATCGTAATATTAGTTTTTTTTTTTTGGTTACCCGTATACCACATCTTACATCTTACATTGATCAGATTACAAGATTAATAATATTCAAAGTAAAAATGATAAAATTTAATAATTTTTAATAAGTATCATTTTAGAATTTCGAATCGTACACGTCATCAAAAAATTTGTCTGCAAATCAACTCGTATTAATATAAAATAATTTAAGATTTAAACACTATTATATAAAATTTTAAGTCTTCAGAATTCTAACTCAAACTATATAGATTCTTGATTTAAAAATTCAATTCTAAAAAACGTACGAAATTAACTGCTAATAATACATACGATTTAAATCTTGATAACTAAAAATAAAATACTTTCCTATTTTTATATATTTATTTTACGATTAAAGTATTTTCGAAACAGGTGTTTTAACCCTTCATTGCAGCTTGGCATCAGAATATATACACGAAGAAAGGTCCAACAACAGAGGGCCGGGCAGGCCAACAAAGCGACCTCCGTCCCGGGAAAAACGGTGTACTGCTAACACCCACACATGTTCCCATGGTGGGGTCAACCCACATGCTTCCATGTAAACAAGAACAAAGCTTCTCTTCATTTAGGGTTTAATTTACCCTTAATTTAACTTTAATTTAGGGTTTCAATCAGTTGGAACCAATCCCACTTGCAGATTTTGAGTATCTGAGTCTCACGCACTTGAAATATTGGAGAGAGTTAAAAAAATAAATGTTTGGTCCCTATCGTTTTTAGAAGTTGTTTTAGGTTCCTAATTTTATTTTTAGTTACAAATTGGTCCTTACTTGGAAGCTTGTTTGATCTTTATATTTTCCAAAAAAATACTATTTAGTCACTATAATAAAAAGAATTTGCAATTAGATTCTTGCATGGTTACTTTTAATTAATCTTGTGCTGGTTCATTAAAATGTTTTTTTTATATTTTTTTTTATGTAATATTCATTACCACTTGTAATGTATTAAAGCAATACTATATATTAAATTACAAGATCAAACATAAGAATTTAACAACTTATTTTATTATGTGATTCGTTATATCGTACAAAATTTAAATGCGCCGTTAATGTACAACAAATAATAGACACTATAATTTAATGAATTCAATAAATGCCAAGTACTCATGGTACAAAAATAGTAGGATCAAACTATACAGTAGACTTCTGTGCATTCATGTCACGGATCTTAGATTTATAAGTAAAAATGTACATGTACGTTAGTACGCATAGTAGGGATGATCACTATTGTGTTTAAAATTGAGAACCAGATCAAACCAAAAAATCAATTTCCACTACAAAAAATCAATAAATGTCAAGCGTTTGTTAGTGACAAATTAACTAGTTTGTCGCTAAATAGAGAACAATATTTTTTCGTTATTTTGATATATTTTCATTATTATTTTGTTGTAAACATTCGTATGAATGGTTTGAATTTTGTTGTTATATAGAGGAAAAAAAATCCATCGCTAATTTCAGTTGTTAAATTTAGCTAATATTGTTGACTCAAGGTTTGCTAAAAAATTAATTTCAGTTTGGTTTTTAACTCAATTTAAAAAAAAAAACTAAAATTTTTTATTCCGTCGTTATATAGAGAAAAAAATCCATCGCTAAATTTTATTGTTGACTCAAGGTTTGCCAAAAACTTAATTTTAGTTTGGTTTTTAACTCAATTAAAAAAAAAAAAACTAAATTTTTTTCAACTTTTCAATTCGGTTTGGTTTTTGAAATTCGTGGTTTGGTTTAAACCAAAAACCAAGTTGCTTTCTTTCATATTTTTTAAGTCTTAAAATAATGCATATAAAGCAAAAAAATCAGTACCTATTATTATTATAAATATTTGATGGATTGATGGTATTTTTAGTCCATTTATGATGTTTTAAAAAATAAAAATTCAAAAAAATAAAAAAACAAATCAGTTTAAACTAAAAATTTGAATAGTAATTTGGTATTAGATTGTTATTTCGAGTTTGTATACTTTTCTTAAAAATCAATATACATTCGTTAAAATTTTATAAATTTGAGAAATAGAGATAAAAAAAATATATAATTCTAATTGAAAAAACAAAACAGTTCATATGATTGAAGAATACGCATTTAATAAAAGAAAATCAATTAAAATATAAAAATTGTCACAGCATTAGTTATATTAGCTTTATATATGGAAGGAAATTGAAACTTTTATGAAAGTTCATGAAAGTAATTAATACAAACAAAATCATAAATAAAAAAATTGAGAAATCCCTCAAATCTTAGGGGAGCAAATTAAAATTTACCCAAATTACAAAGGTTCGGGAGTTGCTATGCAAGAATAATTACTCGCCAGAATACTAATCAAATGAAGAATTTTTTTTATTTTACGGTAACGTTGAGTGGCTTAAATTCAATTGATAAGTATTGCAATGTCAACGGATTAGTAGAAGACATCTATAAATTGACAAATTAAAAGAAGAAATAATAATTAATAAGCATACAAACTGCTACTTAATTGGCAGTTAAGAAATTATTGTTCAAGAATAATTTATTCTGAATTATCAAATTAAGTTTTTACAATCAAAGTTTACAAGCTCAAGTGCATTAACATAAAATCTTACTATAAGGAATTATATGGCATGTGCTTTTGTGCTTTATATGTATATGCATGTTTTTTAGTTTTCCATGCTTTAAACTCATTAAAAAAAATGATCCAATTCTTAAAAAAAAAATGTATTGTTATGTTTGAACATTTTTAACCTAAATGGCTAAGAGTTCTCCTTTGAAAACGCTTGTAATTGATAGCAAGCCTAACAGTAACATCTGTTAGCATTTTTATGAATATTGAGCGACAGTTTGCAAAAACCATGCATCGCTAGTTATGGTTTTTGCAGATCGTCGCAAAATACCTCCAAAGTATTTGTTAGCGTTTTGGGAGTTATTTAGCAATGGTCTCTGAAAACAGTCATTAATTTCACCTAAAATAGTTATTTAGCAATGGTTTTTTTTCCGTCGCTAAATACTTAGCTTTTTAGCAACTGGGCTACGGATTTAGCGATGGACAGATTGATCATTTTTTAGAGGATTTCACAAAACTATCATGAATTTGTGTGTTTTTAGAGACGATTTTAAAAATTGTCACTAAATATCCAAAATGTATAGAAATTCGCTAGAGTATATTCAAACCATTGCGAATTCTTTTACTTTAGAGAATTTTTCTCAACCATCGCTAAAAAATGGTCGCACATACAATTTTTTCATAGTGTTTTGATGTAAATTATCAAGAGATTAGTTTTGAAGGCACTTCTAAACATTTTTTTTTTTTTTTTGGTTTGAGCAGCTATATGAACATCATCGAACCAATTTTTTTGCATCGAAAAAAAAAATTTCAATCAAGTTTCAAATAGATTATTCACACTCAGAATAATGCATTTATAAAAAAATTACTTTCTCACACCTAATATATATAATAGCACAATGATGAATCCACTTACCTACTCAACTTTTTAGGGTATTTAAAATTAATAGTAAGAGTTTAATTGTAAAAACACTTCTAATTAATAGTAAGCTTTACCAAATTTGTGGTGCATACGCATTCTTAATTTCAATTATCAAAATTTTAATTAGAAAAAAACTTCTAATTTGTAGTGATCCTTACTGAACTTATGACGCATGCACGTTCTAGAAAAAAGAAAGAAACTGCGAAAATGGTAAGCTCAACTTGCCATGCAAGTCGCGTAGGGGTTAGACTTTTCTTCCAACGCATGGACAGATCTGAGTTGGACCTGTTTATGTGCCCCCACAAGGGTAACCATCACCGTCAGATTCGGCTATTTGCATCAGAGCCGCACATATATTAATGGGACATTTTGATATTTTAATCAAAATATTTTGTTGGTAGTGAGGAGATTAGTGGGATCAAGAAAATAGTCAGCTTTTGTAAAAATAGGAGCAGTAGAAGACTAGAAGTTAGAGAATTGCGAGTTAAAAAAAAAAAAAAAAAAGGATGGAGTTTGGTGGGGTTCAGTAATCTTAGGCCCAATATTCTTCTTGGGATTGGTGGTAAAGAGGACCTCAAATCCCCTATAAATACCAGCCTTTCTCACCCTAAACCTACACACTGCCTCTCTTTCATTCTCTCTCTTTTATCTCTATACATCAGACTGATCTTTCTCTCTTAGCCCTCCCGTCCTTTCTCTTTGGAGGGCTTTGAAGCTTCTGAAAATATTCAAATCTAGGTTTTGGGATAGTTTACATGTGACCCTCTTTGTATTCTTCCACAGCTTTCTTGAACTGCATCTATTTGAATATTGTTGTTGATGTTGTTGTGCATGCCATGACCATACGACATTGTATTTTTGTCGCGGTTCAATATAGCTGTGGGAAGATACAAACAGGATCAAAGAAAGTTGATGTTTCTTCATCGGATTCGGCATCAGTGATCGGTGTATTATAAGGTCTCTGATCTAATCTCTCTCTCTTGATATATGATCTCTTGGATCCAATTGATTTTAGGGTTTTTTTGTTCTTTTTTATGTGATATTAATCTCATGTTTCTCCCAAGTTTCATGCTTTTGAAGCAGAACAAGAAGGGATGGATAAATTTCTCAGCCGTTCTACTTAAAAGTGTTTTCCTTTCTGGGATGAAATATCATTCCTAATCCACCTATATGGAAGGAACAAGTTTTTTTCATTATTTATTCACGTTTTGAGGCTTTTTTTTTTGTTGATTGTTTTGACTCTTCGTTTTCCTTATGTTAAACAGATCTCACAAAGTTAATGATTATGTTTTGTAGAACATATATCTATTAACAGAGTATCTTGGAAGCATAGCGTCCAGCCAACAGTGTCCTTCCGTTTGTACTTGCATCGAAAGGAGACCACACAAATTAACAAAGATTTATCGGGTACATATATACTTTTGAAGAATCATTCATTCTTTTTACTTTAGATTCTTGTCTCTGTCGAATATGTTTTTGACGATGATTTTGGATTTTGGATTTTCTCAGTTGTTTTGATTGGGCTTTTACAACACAGTACTCATTTGCTTGATCTAATCCTATAAGATCACAAGGCCATGACTTGATATTATGAATATTTTGATCGTTCATTAATCTGTGTCGGTTGATCCAGTAATAGATAAGTGCCGTTTTTTTTGTATGAATCTGATCTAAAGATTCTTTTTCATGAGGTTGATAGCTAGCGATCTGATATTGATTTGCTTCATGTTGAGTATATACGGTGTCTTTGATCAAATTAAATTAGGCTTGCTTTTTTAGCTATAGGATAGATGGACCACACAAGGTTGCTAGCCTTTCAGGATGGAATTAACCCTCACCTACAAACCCTTGAAGCCACCGATTTCAACACTAACTCGAGTGCTAATGTTAGGTGAAAGATTTAATGGACAACCCCCAAAAACAAAAAGAAATAAAAATCCTGCAACACTTGCTGTAATTGAAACGAGCATAATTGGGTTTAAAATATGCTAAAAGAAAGCTTGTAGAAGCTAGAAATTAGGTTTTATTTTTTCTTGAATTTTTAAAAAATAGGAAGACAACTAAACGGCCAGGAAAAGTATGATCTATAGGGTAATAAAAAGAACAAAAAATTTTCTTGTCTTTTTAGGGCTGACAGACAAGTTTTAAATCAGATCATAGGGTTCCTGCCTTCTCCTTTGGATGGTAGAAACAATAAATCTTTCGTCTATGTACAAATGAATCTTGCATGAACAACTCAACTTTCTTGAGCCATATAAATGTTTTATTGTGATGACAAACCTAATTTTCGGTTAAGTCCGTGAATATTACACAACAATGTAAAGAACGTCATGGTGATAAAAAAAGTTGGGTCTAGTTTTTTATGAACTTAGCTGGAAAAGCACACCAACGGGATCTGAATGATCCATTCAATTGATAGAGGCCACTTCTTCTGGTTTTTTATGGATATTGAACAGGTCATGTTTGCATACTCAGACCAAATTAATTACATATTGGGATGCATCTCTTAATGTGGCCAACTAATCCAACACGTATTTTAATTAAACACTAATCTTTTTTTTTTTTTTTTTGGTTAGCTGTAAGCAGTTCAGTAATAATCAATCAAGGATGCCCTTTTGCTTTATCCTGTAATTTGAATTGATTAGTGTCATGAATATTTAATTACCATTCAATTTAGAGGGGACATGCTCATTATTTCCACTAATCATGCACTCTTAAAGTAAAACAATTGGGATCACATATTGGATCTGGCTTGTCTGATGTAAAATTTATTAGCTCTTTTAAAGAGGAGAAAGAGTTGGAAAAGCTAGATTTTCTTGTGCTTTGTGAATGTGAAAGGAGATGTGGGAATTAAAGAATTTTAAATCACAAGAAAATAATTCATGAAAGTGGATGCACATTCCACTTCCATAGTGCTGTAATTTTTGTCTTATTGCTTAAATTATTTGATGAATTTGGTAGTCATTTCAATTATTTTAAAGGTCTAATTCATAATAATAATCTTTATTATCTCTTTTGTTTTGAGGCAAGAAAGAGAATAAAAGTTGACATGCGACCTTAATTATATGGGATTTTAAAACAATGTCTTTTTCTTATATTAACAAATGCCAACTGATTATTGTATGGGAAGAACAGCTGTATATTTTAAAGTAAAAAAAAAAATTAAAAAATTGTAAGATAATTAAAAGCTTTCTTGTAGGATCGATGACACTGCATCACCATTAATTGTTTTTTATTGAAGGGCACAGTCACACACGTTGGCAAGTACTTAAGCAGTTTCCAGTTTTTCAACTATAATATTTACATGCATGCATATAATTGCCGGTATGCCAACATTATTGTTGTTTAAAAGCAGGCAAAAAAATTAGTAGTTTTTGCAAATAGGATTTACATTTATTGACATAGAGTAGGTTATTTGAAAAAATAAAAATAAATTAAATTAAAATGCCTGCAAAATAAAGAATTTATTTTTATGTTCCCCATTTCTCTTATTTGCAAAAGCAATAGCCCATTTGGAGAGTCAGCAGAGATTATAGTTTATAAGGTATCGTATCATTTCCCTTCTATTTTCATGAAACTTGGTTTAGTGGGCACAACAAAATCGCAAAATTAGAATCATGGTTGACAGTATTGGCTAAACTGATATAAAGTTTCAACACTGAGTGTTGGAATACTATGCCTAAGAGGTAGTATTCCTCTCTTTTACACAGCAGTAAGTACCGATCATTCATGGCTGTTGATTTCTTGTTAGTACACTTTTTTCCCCCTTTTTTACAATATTCCTTTCAGGGTCAACAAAGTTGTCATTTATCGTTGTTGTTGTGCACTCTCACATCAAATAAAAAGGCAATGCTAGCTTTTGCACTTCATATGTATGATGCTGCTTCATGTCCTCTAGTTCTAATCTTAGAGCAACAATAGCTTTATATCAACAGCGACGTGACTGTTCCGTTTCTCCACCACATGTTAGCGGAAATATCATTGCTTTTTCTCTGCCATTTCCCTTTCACGTTGCCCATAATTTCCAGAGTGTAAATTTTTAGTTTATATTACAAGTTGATTATCCTTGGTTATATAGTAATGGCATATGGGACAATCTCCTCTGTTGCCATTGTTTTAATTGGACTTTTGACTCACACGCAGTGCTCTGTTGATTTATTGATGTAATGAATCTATAGCGTTTCTTGAATGCCGCTAAAGGTCCTTTATTATGCGAATTAGGGGATATGATTTCCTGCTTTTAGGGAAATTATTAGGGACCAGTTGTAACAGTTCAATTAGCCGACAGATCTTCTTCTTCTTTTTTCGGTGCTTAAAATGACACATCTTCCACCAAAACAACGTTGTTTATATGCTGCTAGCTTTATTTTTGCTTAAATACAAGTCAAAAGAATAGAGAATGCATCAATTAAAATATAATCAAGCTGGACTATAGAGATATAAATGGAATGCCACCACGGAACGAAGATCATCTAATACATATTGAATGATGCTCCACAACTGTGAAACAAGTACAGTATATTTGCTCTTTCTACCACCAAGAGCCTGATCTTCAAACTCAAAACATTACATGATTGTCGAAGGAGTAGCTTCATGAAACAGTATTTCACTAATTAAGACTGCTTGTCTTGTGCTGGGACTGGGAGATACATACCTTAATATGATGCCCTAGCTTTCCATATCTCTTCAGCTTTTCAGCCTTCATATATAAGAAGGTATCATGGCAAACCATTGGATCTTTTCTTTTAGTAATCTGGTGGTTTGGTTGCCTAGATAGGCATCTCCTTAATTGGTGGCTCCTTTTGTAGAACCTTTGGAATTTTCATAATAAAAATCATTTCACATTCAAGAAAAAAAGGAGGTGACGGCAAGGAGAAGAAGTCATATTTACTACAGAAAATACTTTAAGGACAAGTAAGAAGTCATTTACATGAGAAATCAGCTGGCTATGTACGAAAAATGGTAAAAACAGTCTTGTTCTATAACAAATCAATCAGCCTGAATATCATCCCACTATAGAATTTTGGACCATTGTCCATAGTTGGGTCAGCACTTCAGAGATTCTTTCTTGTTCTAGGAAACAAAAGCTTGCTTAAACTTTTAGCTCAAATGCTTCATGTACAATGGTAGTCATGCATTGCGAAAATTATATATACCAGTTCAAAAATATTTGAATTATTGCTGCTCTCTTCTTTTTCTTTTTTCTTTTTTCTTTTTTTAACCTTTAGCTACCATGTTGTAGTCTTCCCACAAAGCTGACTGCAATGGATACTAATGGACTAGGCATATCTTGAATGCTAAATGAATCTTATGGTTTAATATTAGAAACCATATTCAGTGCATTAACAATATTTCTATTAAGGTGTTCAGATCTGCCATGCTCCTCTGTCTGCCCTATTATAAACTACTTTTGGTGGACCTACCCCTTCATCTGCATAATTTCATACTAAAAATAAAAGCAAGAGGCTTTTCATATTTCATGATTTGCATTAGGTGAAGATTCCTCTAACAAAGCTTCATTATTTTTCTCTAATAAGTCTTCTTCCTACTTCAATTCTGATCCACTATATCCCCACAACTAGCCTTTGTAGTTTAGTTCTTCGTCTTTCAAAGCAAGAACACTTCCTTGCAAGGTATGATAATTAAGAAAAGCTTCTTCATTTTTTTATTTTTTCTCATACATTGTAAGGAAAAGTTACAATTATGATCTACTGTAATTAAAAATTTGAGGCAGATGATTGATCTAATGCTTAAGACCTAGAGCGCCTAAGATGGTGTGCAGCAGTACTCTATGATTTGATCTGCAATGATGAGCTTAGCTACTTGCCAAAGCAATATATATATTCTCGTATAATTCTAGAAAACCAAAAAGAAACAAAAATAAAAGCAATAGGAAAAAGTGGTTGAAACAGCTAACAAATCAAGAAGTGCTTGTAAGAAGAGGCAACCAACTTTTTTTTTTTTAACCTGTGATAAGCCAAATAGATTTTTTGCAAGTTGCAGATTGTCCTTGATTGGTTAGACCCCATCTGAACATCAGAACATGCTAAGGATTACAGTTCAAATTTTTTTGGCACTACATGATCTCTAAACTGAAAATTATATAGCTCTTTAAGATTCCTTGTACCTATAAAAAAATTAGATGCCTTGAATCCTTGAAGCAGTTTGAACATACAAAATTGATCTAAGAGACTAAAACAAGGAAAAAGAAAAGCATCCCAGAAATGAACAGCAAGTGATAATTCTCTGCAAACCTAACACAGACTCAAGAATTGTGTATTTACTTGAAACTGATAAAGAATTATGGGAATTTTCGTGGACGGCATTGCAAAACCTAGTACAAAGGCTTTAAGTTAGATATTCAAAATCCAAAAGAACAGTAATTTTTCACCGAAAATGGGGGAGCAAAGAAGGGCTAATAATTGTGTAGGTTTGTACAATTGAGATCATCAGCTAGACAACTATGAAAAGCAATCAAAACCCAATAATTTACATGTGATTTGCAAATTTCACATATCCTCAAATACCACTATGGAGATCCCACTAGAGAAGGCCGAGAAAGAGTAGTAGTAAAAAAACTGATGTCAGAATGTGGGATAGTGGTTAAAAATGATGTCAACAAAGTGACAAAGCTTAAACTTTTTTCACGGAAACGTAGGAGATCATGTTAGAAATAAACCAAAAGGGAAACAGCAAGAACTATCATATTTAACAATAAAAGGGAAAGGGAGGGAATCTTCTCTGCAAAAACACAAAACACAACTCTCTCTCTCTCTCTCTCTCTCTCTCTCTCTCTCGTCAAAAATTTGATTCAATGATCAGAATTTATGTTAATTTTAAGAAAAGTTGAATTTCCAAAAAACTAAATAAGACTTGCAAAATATTCTCTTACCCTCTTCATGCATGTTTTAAATGGTTTGAAGCCTAACTTCTCCTCTCTAACAGCAAAAAACGGAATTTTTTAAGGAAAAATCATGGAGGATGAAACCCCGTATCATAATTCAGCACAAAAAACAAATCTTTCTCAAGAATTCTCATGGATTACATGAGAATTTTCCTCATTAAAAAAAAACCAAGCAAAAAAGTCTAAATTACAAGAGAATTTAGAGAATTACCATGATCCATGCGGGGAGGAAGATGATCAAAGCTTCTTGGATGCAGTCCATGTAGGAAAAGAGGGATCTTGACCGTAACAGCAACAAACAGATCGCCCAAAAAAATCCTGAATTGCCATGTTCTCCCACAGCTTTCTTGAGCTTCCATGGCGCTAGCTATATACAGATACATATAGTGATATATATATATATATATACACAGAGGTTAAGCATGACAAACAAGTTCAAGAAAGCTGTGGAAAAGCATGACCAGGACATAGAAAATTAAACCAAAAACCTTGAAATCTTCTCAGATCTCATACCCCTTTATTTCTGTTTTCTTGGACTGATAAATATAGTGAGCTAGAGAGAGAGAGAGAGAGAGAGAGAGATGGAGCATGCCCATACAAAATCTCATGGACCACTCTAATATATGTATAAATCTTGCAAGCAGCTTTATAGAGAAGGAGAGTAGGGTTCCCTTCACTCACAAGACCGCATTTTACTCGCAAAAAGCCTACTTTTACTAAGTGAGTGCGCAGTGGGCTACATATAAAACAGTCTGATTGGTGAAGAAAAACAAAACAAAATTTTACGATTTCCTTTTATAAAGAGAATAATTTTAATGAGATTTTTGTTTTGAAAAAAAATAATAATTATTGAATATTAAGGTAAAGGGTAAGAATTCATTTAATTTGGATCAAGAAATTCTCGATGAATTGACATATTAAATTATGTTGAGTTTTGGTCTTGATATAAATACGAGAGAATCTCTCTACATTTTAGATATATTTGTTCTGGTTATATAACTCACTGAAATTTTTTAAAATAATTAAAAAATAACTAAGGATATTTATTCTATAAATTTATTTGAAAAAAGTAATAGACACAACAAAAATAGAAAAAATTGTATACGAATTCATAAAAAATGATAAAGATATTTCTATCTAAATTCAATTTTAAAAAAAAATTTATAACTTCTCTTTGTGCTTATCTTTTTATTATATTATAAAGTATTTATGGTTAGTTATTTCTATAGTAAGATAAAATTTTCCTTGCTTCTTCATTAAAAACTCCATGAAAAAAAAAAACTAAAAAATGTTTGGTATTTAAGTGTTCATCTAGTGAAATTTGGAAATGCTGAGATCAAGAATAGATAAGTAAAACAGTAATATTGGAGAATTTCGGGTTGGTTTTTAAAAAATTGAAAAGAAAAAAATGAATTAAGAGGGGAAAATTAACAAGAACATCCCATCCCCATGATCACATGCGACCATGAGAGCAAGATCTATTTTTTTATTTTATTGGTAAATAAAGGTATGGGTTGTTTATGGTCCCCCAATCGTTGTGTTTTTTCTTTATCCTGCATATTAACCTATATATAACAATTTTTGTGATGATCATAAATCATGATATTGAGAATCTCCATGTTGGATGCTTTTTTATTGCATATTTAGATTGTTCTAGACAATGCAATGGGGTAAATTAATGGTTGGTTTTTATTGTGTTTTTGTGATGATCATAAATTATGTATCTATTAGTTTCTTTTTAAGTAAAGTAGATTCGGGTTTTAATGATTTCAATTTGTTTAATTAGTGATAATATAATGAAAGATAATTATTTATATGGTCTACTCTGATATCTATAAACTCCTTGATGAACCCATAAAAAGTAAAAGAAGGAGAAAAAAATTCATAAAATGTTTTTATTTTCAATTTTCAATATATATTAATTGCTAGGACAATAATTATAAAAAAAAAAAAAAAAAAAAAAAAAAACAGATGGAGATGACCTTTTACTGAGGGACGGGGGAGCCAAACTTGCTAAAGAATAGTATTTCATGTTTTTCTTGTTTTAGTTTCAATCTCTATTCTATATTTGGTGAGGAGGTGAAAAACTTTTCATTTTTTAGAGCGTTGGGGTAAAATAAATTTATCCGGAGCAGGGAAGGACGGAAAATTATTTAATATTTGAAGACCTATCAACCACTCCATGGTTTTTTTCCCTTAATTACTTTATCTTCAGGTTCTGACATTATATATATATATTCTATGAATTATTATATGATGAAGTTATATTATATGCCGTGATGATGTTGATGGCGTGGGCCGGGAAAGGAGAGATGATGGAGTTTGTAGTGGGCCCCCACCATCCTCAAATCAGGGACTTTTTGTTTTGGTAGGGGATTTAATTATTGAAGTAAATTATAAATTAATCTTTTTAGTTTAGAAAAATGAATTAATTAGTTTTTTAAAAATTAATTACTTAATTTCTAGATTAGTATTCTAGATTAGTATTGTTCATGTTTAATTTAATATTATTTTTTTCATTTTTTTTCTTTTTTCATCAATCCTTTTAGTTATATGTAAAAGACAATTTAAAAAATCAAATACTTTTTTAATTAGGCCTATTTAATTTAATGCTTTAAAAAAAATTAAAATAAATTGAAAAGAACGAAAAATTAAGTTGTAAAAATATTTAAAATATAAACTAAATAATTTTTTTAAAAAATTAATTAATTCATTTATCGAAATGGGGAGTAATTTATAATTTACTCTAAATTATATGAAATAGACCCATGACGGTGAGGTCCACCTCATTACCAACCTGTTACTATATCAAGTTTTAATGGCATAAATTTCTTTTTCGTTTGTTAGCGGACGCCGCAAGTGGGCGGCCGTATATTCTAGGGGGTGAGATGAGAATAAATACGTTCATTTGTAAAATACAATGCTATTTTAATTTTCTTTAATTTTGTTCCATTACTCATGTACTTGACTTAATTATGATTTATGTGCTTCATAAATAATTCATTGCAAAATTAAAAAATAAGTAAAAAATTCTTATAAATTATAATTTTTTGATCGTGTAAATTATAAATTAGTCCATTTCATTTTAAACATTAATTAATTAGTCCTTATTTTAAAAAAATAATTAGTTTTTTAGATTTTAATTTCGTCAATAACTTAGCTTTTTATTAATTTTTTATTATAATAATCTTTTTTTCAAATTATCCTTATTTTGATATTTTATTTATCTCCTTTATTTATTTATTTTTCCTATACGATCAAGAATCAAAATAAGAACAATTTGAAAATAAAAACCACTAATATCTAACGAAAACGAATGAAAAAACCAAGTTATTAAAAAAATTAAAATATGAAATATTAATTAATTTATTTCTCTAAATGAGGGACTAATTTATAATTTAGATCCAATCAATTAATTAATCCCATCAATAATTCAGTCAATTCAATTAAAAATATGACCAAACCTAGAACTCGAATCATCAAATTTCTAGATTCGTTACTGAATTGGTAGAGTTTCACAACTATATGATGAATCAAATCATTAATTATTACAGTGATGTTGCTATCTCTGCAATGGTGTTGGATTTGGTGTGATTATTCTAAACAATTCTGGTGAAGTGATGTTTACGGCCATGAATTTTGTGAGTTATATTTCAATACCAATATAGATGAAGCTATGGGACCGAGGTATGGAATCTCCTTGACAAGGGACATAGGCGATTATAAGGTTGAACTGAAGTTGGATAGTCTTTTAGTTACAATGACCATAACCAGAGAACAAACGTTGCTTAACTATTTCGATTTCGTCGCTCAAGGCATTAAAAAGTAGCTTCTTCTCTTTTATTTCCACGCAAAATATGCAATGAGAATGGTCAATGCGACATCGCATTCTTTTAATAAATTAGCTTTAGCTTTTTTTTAGCTGCGGAGTGAGGATGTGATCAAGTTTTCTGCATATTAAGACTAATTTCTTTTTAAATATAAATAAAAAATATTCTTCAACATATGATTTTAAGTATCCTAAAAATAAATTCTTAAAAATATTAATTACAATAATTGAATTTTAAACCGAACATGCATATTAACATTTGAGTATCAACGAGCTATTATTTTATGGTTAATTTTAGTTATTTTTAGTGATCGAGGAATGTTATAGGCATTAATTCTGAGTTTATTTCTTCATATAAAACTCATTTCAATCTTTCGGAAAAAAAAATAATAATTAATGAAGTAATTAAGCCATGAGATTCTTCTTAATCGATTGGTGAATTTGTATGTTTTTTTTTTTTTTAAGGGTCTCCAACAATATAGCCGTACCCAAGATTTATCATTTATTAAGGCAAGGCCTAGAGAGAGCTGCCCAAAGCAAAAGGGAATTAGCTAGTCATAGACTCGTAGGCTTCGCACTGAATTTAAGATATTTTGAGAAATGATATCAATAACTAGCTCCTCTCTGTTTTTGTCTCTTTCAATTCATCAATGCAATCCTCTCTGATTTCCAAAAAGGACAAAGTTACGAAATTATGAATCTGTTGGCTTGAAGTTTTATGGAATAATTACTTTATAAAAACGTAGAGAAATAAAAAAAATTAAAAATATATAAATTTTGAATTTAAATAAAAATATTTTCATTTTTTATCAATTTCGATGCAATTTTATTCTTCCTTTTTAGTTTTGTCTCTCTATTTATAAAGTAAATATTAATAATTATTTTAAATATTATAAAACTTCTCCCTACGAAAAAAGAACTATTTATAAAGTAAATATTAATAACTACTTTAAATATTAGAGAACTTCTCCCTACGAAAAAAGAAGGTAATCGTACCAATTACAGTCTACAGCATTTATGATGGATCGGTTGCCCATTGCCCAAAAATTGACTTGACGTTCATGGGGGCACGATAACAATAGGCAGATTACGTAGTCAAACTCAAAAATATTCCATTGAATCTAGGAAAGAGAAATTATAGTGAAACGTAAATGAAAGATGCATAAAAACACCCAGGAAAGAGAATATCAGAGATATTAATTTCTTTTTGGATATGACGAATTGTATGTGTTCGACAATCAATTTAAATAATAGAGGCAAGTCAACGTTTCCCAATGGGTGCTTTATTGTTTGCTGTAAAAATGTTTTTTCTCTCACAAAATATCACATTTAATTTAAGCTACAAAATGGGAAGTAGCTTAAAGAGAAAAATAAAAAATAAAAATGGAGAAACTTGTTTTTTATTGTAAATGAAAAGAAATATTAATGATAATAAATTATTAATTTAGTAATAAGCGAATTCATTATCAAATAAATTGTGTAAGATTGAAATTCTAAAATTACGTATTTAAAAAAAAAAATTTATTGTTTTTGTTTCTAACAAAATTAGTCTGGCCAGATAACAAAACAAAACACTGACTTAGTCAAAGTTAATCTCATCTTAAAATTTTGAATGTTTGTGGGGGCTTGAGATAGGTGTGATCACATGACCAATAATTAATTTGATGATGATATTTTGATGAGATGATCGCATAAAGGGGTGGGCATCTCCTTGTGATAATTATGTAGTCGAATGAAAACAAACGATTTGTTGAGAATTTCATTTCAAGGTCACATCTTGTGTCTAAAAATGCCTGCCTATACCCATAAGTCATAACGTTATCATGGGCCGACATAAAAGGAAAAATGGAGTTGCTTTCTTTTGCAACCGAGATTTGACCCCACCTCACCTCGGGCCTAAGTTACTGGCTGGGTCTAAGCTAGAATTGATAGCTCATTGTCCATCATATAAGAGTAAATTATAAATTAGTCCCTCTCACTTTAAAAAATAAATTAATTAATCCCTTTTGTTTGAAAAATTAATTATTTAGTTTTTTATGTTTTAATTGAGTTAATTAATAACTTATTTTTTTTATCATTTTTTTGTTAAAGTAATGATGAAATATCCTTATTGCAGTATTTTTTTCCTTCTAAATTGTCTTTTTTTTATGTTTTATTTTTATCATTCATCCCCTCGCTTGCTCTTTCTTCAACCATCTCAATCATGGTAATGAAGCTAAATGCACTATCAAACTTTTCTAATAACTCTCTTTCACATGTCACTTTTTCTTTCAACAAACGTAGTTTTCTGTAAGGTAAATTTTCTAACAAACAACAAAAATAATAATAAGAAGAAAAAACTATAGATTTTTTTTGTCCTGTGAAACTATTCAATAAAAACAAAACAAGAGACTTTTACTTTCTTTCTTTTTTTTTTTTTTTTTGGGGGGGGGGGGGGGGGTGGTGTGCCAGACTTTCACAGAGTATGGAAAACTGATGAAGAAGAAAAAAAGCTGCAATGGTTGTCTTAGTCAGAAGAATTAGATATATATCTTAAAATGTATTTTAGGTATTGTTTGTTACTTAAAAAAGAGGGACTAAATAATTAATTTTTAAAATAAAAAAATTAATTAATTCATTTGTTGAAACGAAGGGACTAGTTTATAACTTACTCCATCCCATAACGATAAACAAATATAAAATGCGACAAGATATTTTATAACTTAACAAAGAATTATTCTTATTGTTGTTGTTATTATTATTATTATTATTATTATTATTATTATTATTTATTACCGAATGACAACAAAATTACTCCTAGAAGAAAAACAATGCATTTCTTTTATGATGAAAAGATGAACAAAGTATCGAGTGTGTGTGTCTATATATATATATATATATATTATCAAATTAGATCAATAACTCGTAGAAATTTGTCACAGATTATATCAGTAAAATTGCAAGGTACACATTTAGTCTATATATAGTATATTTAACATCTATTTAAGTGAATCAAGATATTTTTCAGTTACAATTATATAATAAAAAAAGACTATATAATATTATGTAGTCCCAAATCCATGGAAATTTCAACTTAAACAATAGGATGAGAATGAGATTTATATTCTAGGTCTAAAAAACATTAATTCGCCAGCCCAGACAGGTTGGGCTTAGTAGGGGTGAGTATCTGTCTTTTAACATCCCCATTCGGTTTGCGGGTAACCAAATTTACAAAAATTAAAAACAAAAAAATAATTTTGAACCAAATTTATATTCAATTTTTTTGTTTGTAAAGTTGAAATTTTGGTTTTTTTTTTGTTCAGTCAATTATTTTTTAAAAAAATACTGTAGATAGGTCAAAAAATTGTGCTATGGACCATGGAGTCCTTCCTCTAGCCCAAACGGTCTACATTAGTTTATATAAAATATAATATATATTGTTTTAAATAAGACCAAAGCACAAAACTATATCACATAATAAAGCATTAAAATTTAAATACAAGTTCACTCATCTATATCTAAAATATATAATGATAAAAAAATCATTGATTATTCAAACATGTTGTAAAATAAACTACTAAAGTTCAAATAGCAATAAAAAGTTCAAACATGTTATAAAAATAAAAATAAAATTAAAAATTTAGTTTAAAAATATTTTAAAAACTGAATTGAAAATAAATAATGGAAATTAATTTACTTTTTTTTTTATTTGAATCGGTATTTCGAATTCGATTCGATTAATTGGTTTTAACCGAATTATGCTCATTCTTGACAGAGAGTAAGGCATAGGAATATAAGATAACTTTTTCCTTTTCCGATTCTTCATTCCTTCACAGATTTCTTTGTTCTGATATAGAATAAAATTTTGTTTCTTTTTATATAGAAATAAATGAAAAATAAACCCTGTTGTAGGATAAAAGATACAGCAACAACTTTTGCAATTTTTCCGTGACTACATTCAAGGCTGCTTCTTCTTCTTCTTTTATAATTATTTTTGGTCACTTTATTCAAGGAAAAAAATATATTGGCATACTTTTCTCACGAATTGAACTCCTTTCAAATTAACACTGACATGATATATCATACATGTTAATTAAATCATAGCCTTTCAAATCATTATTTTTTTCATGACAAATTGAGACCAAGATTTTAATTGATGATTTTCTTTTCTTATATATATATATATATTAAAGTTAACTACCTACCTATCCTTACTTCCTTTTATATATTAAAAAATTAGTGCATATCCCCTAGAGATAAAGTTTTTTTTTTTTTTTATCTATCTCTTAATTGTTCTAATTTCTTAATATATAACTATATCACAATGGTATACTTGGTTGTTCTTTATAAAATTCTTAAAATATCACGAATCAAGTGTTGGTAAGTTTGTTTCTATTAATCAAATACTAGCACCATTTGTTACAATTCTAAGATATCTTTTGGTTATCATGAACGAAAAAGTCTGAAATAAAAAGTAAAAATTAGAATAAAAATTAAAATGATATTTGTATTTTCATAATGTATTTGAAATAGTAATAAAAAATCAGAATAAATTTTAAATTTTTAAATATTTTATCTTTAATACGAATAAAAATAATGATTAGGAAAATAATTTCATTATCTATTGTAGTAGTGAAAATAATAGAAGTGATAATGATAATTGTTACTAGAAAGAGGATGAGAAGGAGGTGTGGTAATAATAACATCATAGTAACAACAATAATATATTTCTAAAAAATTGATATCATTATCATAGAAGGTGAAAGTGAAAAAAGACCATGGTAGTGATAGTGATATTATAAAAATAGTGATAGTAATGTAAAAACAAAACAAATAAAAAAGTATGATATCTATTTACGTGTAAAGTAATTCGAAAATATTTTTATTGTCAGAAAAAAAAAAGAGCTTGCTACAAGGTGGTTCGAATTAAGTTTTATTTTCAAGTTCATATTATTTTTATTTTATGGATCTTGATTATTAAAAAAAAAAAGTGAAATACAAAATTTAGTAGTTAACTATTAATTCATACCAGAATATTAATATCCTTAGATCAGGTTAAGAAATTGGTAAGTCAACGGAAATTAAATTCTTTCTTTACATGCCCTCCACGTCAATCTAGAAAATGATACTATTAGAGTAACTTACTCAAAACTGTAAAATCAATCTTGAGTCCTAGAAGTCATTAAAACAACAGTAATAAAAAAAAAAAAGGTTGCCCCTTCGTTAATAAAAACAAAAACTGTGCCGTTTTTTCAGCTTCGTGCATGATGACTTGGTTTTCATTACCAGCTTGATGACATAAACAGTGTAAGGCATCAGAAACATCTTAGAAAGGCCACCAGTCACATATCACTCTCTTGTCTTTCCTGTCGCTTTCTTGTCGCTGTAACAGAGCAACCGTCCATGAGAGAGTCCCTGTCACGACGTGGTTTTTTTTTTGGCACCACGTGGCATCTTATGCATTGTCCCTGCATTCGAGCTAAATTCTAGCCTTAGTGTTTTTTTTTTATATATCAATATTTTAATTCGTTTTTATATAATATTTGAAGTCTTTCATTCATATTTAAGTTTTCAATATAGTTTCTTCTGCCTCTAATTTTTTTTTTAATATTTAATTTATCATTTTGATCCATTTTTTCAATCATAGATAAATTTTTTGACCAAGATATTCTTTATTAAAATATGAAAAAAAAATCTCAAAATGACCTACTTGTTTCTCTTTTTAAGTCTTTAAAGTTTTGTTTTATTTTATTTTTTTTCATTTCAATCAAGTGTATTTTGGTCAAAAAAAAATTATGATCGAAAAAATTAATCAAAATGATGAATTGAATATTTTAAAAACATATAAAATGTAATTAAAAACTTAAGAAAAAATAAAAGACATTGGGTATGATATAAGAATAAATAAGTATGTTTATCTTATATTTTTCATGTCCATAGCTCTCACGTACCCTTCCCTTGTGGTAACAGTGTTTTTTTTTTTTGGGCAAATATAAAAAATAATATCCAACCATATGGGTAACTTTAATGTTGTCATCAATTTTTTGTATCAATTTTATTATCAAACTTTCAAATATTGTTAATCAAAAACTTTCATTCATTTTAAGGTTTTTGGTTCATATCTTCATCCAAATTATACTTTGTTTTTAAGAAACAATGTCATTTTACAGGGATTTTTTTGTTAAGTGATTAAAACAGAAGTCCTTGATTGAGATATCGAAACAATTTAATAACAAAATTGATATAAAAAATAGTTTTGGTGCAAAATTGATAATACCTCAAATGTTATGATGGTATATTTTATGATGGTGTATTTTATGTTTGCCCATGTTTTTATTATGCATGATCACACTGGAAAGCAAAATGGAGTATCTTTTTTCTGTTTTCAAAAACTAAATTTGAGAATTTTTTTTTATTTTTAAAAACATAAAAAAAAAATTAACAATTGAGTGTTATTTTTTTTTTCAAAATCAAATAAAGTTGTTTTAAAAAATGATGTGAATGGTTGTTAGTTTCTTCTTTTTTTTTTAATTTCAAGAAAAAAATCAATCAACATATAAATTTTCAATTTTTTAAAAAAATTCGAACAAAAAAGAAGAAAAAATGTTGATAATAGCAAACCGCTCGTTAGTTAATTACGGAACAAACCATGCAAAAACTCTTTTACAGTAGTACAACAAAGAGGGAAATAGCGGGAAGAAACAGAACCAGTTACACATGATTCAACAAATTATATTGTATTTTATTTCAAGTTTTTATTAAGTTATCAATAGAAAGAATTCGAATAATAGATTTAGATTCAATTTGTTTAATAATTAGATCGAATTGAATCATATGAATTTAAATTCAAGTTGTGCAATTGTTGACCCAGATTGATTTCGAATTGGATTCGAAAATCGATCAGGTTCATTATTCAATTTTTTCAAGTAAAAAAGTTGTCTACGTTCAAAATTATTCTTTAACATATAATGCATTTCAATTATTATATTATAAAAACATAATATTTAATATGTTAATTTAAAAAAATCCAAAATTTTCACTATAAAATAACAAAATCAAATAATCCAATAAAATTTTAAAGATCAAAAACAATTTTAATTAGGCAAGAAGCATAATAAAGTTAAAACAAAAATAATAAAAATCCTACTTTAGGCATGATTTTTTTTTTCAAAATCAAATAAAGTTGTTTTAAAAATCATGTGAATGGTTGTTGGTTTCGTTTTTTTCTTTTTTTCAACGAAAAAAATCGAATCAATATATAGATTTTCAATTTAAAAAAAAATTGAAAAAAGAAGAAGAAAAACTGTGAATAATAGCAAACCACTCGTTAGTTAATTACGGAACAAACCATGCAAAAACCGTTTTATAGTAGTACAGTGATTAGGGTAAAGGCAGAATGAAATAGATCCAGTTACACATGATTCAACAAATTATACTGCATTTCATTTCAAGTTTTTATTAAGTTGTTGACAATAGAATTTGATTCGGATCATAATAGATTTGGATTCGATTTATTTTTAGATTGAATTGAATTTTATAAATTTAAATTCAAGTTGTGCAATTGTTGACTCAAATTGATTTCGAATTAGATTCGGATATTTGTTGGATTTATTGTTCAATTTTTTTTCAAGTAAAAGTGGTGTCTATGTTCAAAATTATTCTTCAACGTAAAATGAATTTCAATTATTATACGTATAAAAACATAACATTTAATATGTTAATTTAAAAAAAAATCCAAAATTTTCACTATCAAAAGAAAAAAATCAAATAATCTGATAAATGTTTAAAGATCAAAAGTAATTTTAATTAGGCAAGAAGTATAATAAAGTGAAAAGAAAAAAATAAAAATACCTACTTTAGGGATAAATTGCTGGTATAAAAGAAAACTTTAGTGTTTTACAAATAACAACTTTGAAATAAATAAAAATTCGGATTGAATTAAAATTTTATAAATTAAAAACAAAAGCATAACACTAGAAACAACTCATCAATGATATATATATATATATATATATATATATATATATATATATATATATATATATATTATCATGTAATTGTTTGAAAAATTAGTCGTATCTGTAGAGAAAAAAGAATATAAGTATTAACGGAAACATTTTGAGGGGAAGGAGAAAATTCAAATTCATTCTCTCTCTTCCTGTGATTTATATACATGCAATGAAGGGTAAAATAGGAAAAACAAAACAAAATAAATCTGTTATATAAGTTATATCAGACTTAGGGTATAACCCTATGTTTGGATAATTACTCTTGGGAGGAAAGAAAAGAGAGGAAAAAAAGTGAGAGAAAAGAAAAGAGGGAGGAAAGAAAATCATTTTCCATTTGTTGTTTGGATAAGAGTGGAAAGGAAAGGAAAGAAAATACATTTCCTTTGTTTGGAAGAGGAATGAAAGAAAATGTATGATTGTATATTTATTATAATACCCTTGTTATTATATTTATATATTTAAATACTTATAATAAATTTGTCTGAATATTTTGGTAATGAAAATAACATAAATGATGATAAAAAAAATCTAGCATGTAGCATATATCCGAAATGATAAGATAGATAATGAATCGTCTCCATAGCATAACCGATAACTCGTTTATTAATTAATTAATCCAATAGCCAATTTATATTAATTATCAACATAAAATTAATTTAAATATGTATAACATGTATTATTATCTATGCATATAATAAGTTAGTTGCTTTTACCTATCATTTTCTCAGCTTTTTTAATTAAAAAATTACTATTTATCAATCTAAAAAAAAGACATTAATTACATGAGGGTAAAAATTAGATGGAGTTTTCTTACATTTAAGTTTCCTTATGTGGTAGATCCAACAAACTCTTATACATGGTTTCATTTTAAAAGAATATTTATATTTTATTTTAAAAGATAATACGAACTGGATGTAAATACTTATACATGGTTTCATTTTAAAAGAATATTTATACTTGTCCGAGTGTATATGCTTTCTAATTAACAACGCAATCCATTGCTCAACTTTTTTTTTTTAATTTTGTATAAATAAATAAAGATAATATGCTGGATGTACGACAACACTCCATCTTGCAAAACAAACCATCTTGGCCTCCAACCTTTCCCATAATTCACCCACTTAAATAAAATTCCATTCCCTACCATATCATTTATCTTCATATCCACCTGTATAAGTGGTTGCTCCCTCGCAGAAGAAACTCTCTCGCTGACTCATCCTGTTACTTTTGTTACAATCCGTTCCGTTGTTACTGCTGCAGTTGTTGGTGGTGCTGTGGTTGTGGGGGTGTTAATTTGCGAATGACTAGCGTTGTTGTGATTTTGGTTGTGGCTATGTGGTTCAATAGTGATTGATACAGGATTGGGGTCGGATCCGCCAGTGATTGCCATGGATAGATTCGTCGGTGAGTTATCAAACACGGTGGAGATGCAACAAAGTGGATGCATAAGGAAATTTCTCAACACAAAACACGATGGAGAAGGACAGTAAAGAAATGGAGAAAGCAAACCAAACGAATGATGAAGATGAGGGCAAAAATGACAATAACCATATTCTTGATGTTTTGTTCGTGATTTTCCCCTAGTTTCCTTCCAATTTTGGGACGAAAATGAGTCCCACCAAAAAGCTATTTATTTAATTTTTTTTTTCTTTTCACTGATTTCCTCTCTAAACCAAACGAAGGAAAATGTTTCTTTCCTTCCTATTTTCTTTCCTCTACTCTGCTTTCTTCCCTGTCCAAACAAAAGGTAAAGGTAAAAACGCACAAAACAAACTTAACAATAATAGGAAAAATGTAACACGCATGAGGAGAAGAGAAGAAATCAGAGAGCAGAAACAGAGGAAGTGATCTGGCACTTCAAGCCACGCTGGAGCATAGCTGGCACATAATGCGTGTGATAAGTATAGAACATTTTTTAGCATTTAGAGTAAAACTCTAAATCTAAACCTAGTGCTGTATTTTTTTCTTCATATTTTAAAAATATTATTATTCAGATTATTATTGGACTAAATTGGCATAAATTCGTATTTGATCAATTGAATACAAAAATTAAGATTATAATCGGATTTAAATTATAAAAACTATTTATCAAATTTATTTAATTATATTGAATTCAGATAAAAATCTAATCCATGGTCACCATCACGTCTTTGATCGCCGTGTTCGATCGGCACCTGTTCAATGAATTGTCCCCTTCACAAATAGTGGCTTGCTGTTTTTATACGTATCTAACTAAAATTGTACCCGGTAATGAAGGAAAAAGGTAACGTTTATCACGAAGACAAGGATGTGGCATCTTGCGGCTCATCAAATCCAAATAGTTATCAAGAACCACTCGGATCCTTAATTCGAATGCCATTATCCTTGCTTAGCTATGATTTTTTTCAAATCTCTTCCAAAATGTGGCAATTTAGGTTTTTTAATCCGATGCATTCTATTCTATCGCATACAATCCAACATATAAAAAACTAATTATATCTCAAAAAAATCCTACTTATATAAAAAAAATTTAATTTAAATAGAAAAAGTTCTACTCGTTTAATCAAATAATTTCAATTTTGATTTTTTGTATATGTACAAGTTTTTTTAAATAACTATATTCCTTTTATGTATTCAACTGAATAACAATAATTAATCTGAATTTTTAAATTTAAATTACCTTAACAATAATAAAAAAAATATCTTACATACAAATATATGAATATATAATTTTGATAGGATGTAAATTGAAGAAACCACAATGTTAGGCTCTCTCTCACTTTTTGTAAAATTATTAATCCGAAGTCTAATATTGAGATTTACACGCTAAGATTTGAACTTAAAATAGTAGGAAACATATAGAGAGAATTCAAAGAAAAGGAAACACTTATCCATCATTATGGATTTCAGAACTTGTAGAACTTTCGACGAATCAAAGCAAAGTTAATTTTGTTATTCATTTGAAGTAATTATTGTTTTTAATAATATATCACATAATATTTATGGTATTCTATTTTATAAATATGTTATAATTTTATTAAAATTTTAAAAAGATTAAACTCGAATTTTTGAATAAAATATAAATCTTTTTCATTCATGAAGTGCACCACCAACTCGAATTTTTTTAATTAATCAATAAAATAGTTTAAGTTTCTTTAAATTTTTTGTATAATAACTCTGCCTAAAATCATATAATAATAAAAAATTGGAACAGGAGAATTTTAAGTACCTAATATTAATACTAAATCATATTTAGTATTAATATTTTACGCATGAAGAATGCAAAAAAAAAAAAGGGGGTAAGTACAAAAAGAAGGGAAGGAGGAATGATTAGATGTTTCTGCTATCATTTGTAGCCTAGTGAATAATTGATGGGTCCCATGCGAATGCTACCGTCCAAATCAGTAGTGAATTTTTCAGTATGCCATTTAGGATTTTTGACAAGTCAAGTTGCACGAGCGACCACTGCATCTGATGATCTGCAGTTGTACGGTTTAAGTGTATATCCGTATCCCTCAGTTGCCTTGAATTTTGATTCCTTTTTTCTTTTTCTTTTTAGTTTCACTCCTCGTTTTTTTTTTTTTTTACTGTTTAACTGTTGACGATGAATATTATTGTTGGGTGAATGTGATTTCTACGGCTAAAAAGTGGAAACATCCTCTAAAATTAAAGTTATCTGAAAATTAGTTTTTGTATTCTCAGTTTTAGTTTATGATAGTTTTGATCTTTTTATATTTTGTTATATTTAAAATCGAGTCTTTTCATTATATTTTTAAAAATTCCTTCTACATTTTGCATGTAGAATTAATGAAAAGACTTAAATACTACAAATTTGAATAACTTTTAACCTAATTGATTTTATTTTTAATTTTTTACATAGTTAATTGAAAATTTTAAAAATAAAATACATAACTTTAAAATTTAATTGAATATTTTAATTTTAATTCTTCATCCAAATATTTTAGTTTTATTAAAAAAAAAAAACAAAACAAAACTAGTAGCCAAAATATTCTTTGTTCTTAATTTGTCACGAAAATTTAAAATTTATCAATTAGAATAAAGATTGTTGAAGTTGAAGGTGTTTAAATTGATTTCAAATAACAAAATAATTTGGTTTCAAATATACCAAAATATATGGAGGTTAAAATTTAAATTGAGAGTACAATGACTTATTCTCAAATAATTTTGAATTTAGAAAAGGTTTGATTCTCTTGGCTGATTTTTATTTCAAGAATTGACTAGAATGTTAGATGTAGTACTCTTTGTATCCCTAAAAAGACGATAGAAAATTTATTTTCGATTGACTCGCAAATTAACTATTTAATAGAATTTATTGTTGAATAATTAAAATCTAATATATATATATATATTAGCACGTAGATTTGAATAGTAAGAATCTTTATAATTTTCTTGTAACAACCGAAGAATTTCATAAGCATTTTTTAAAAGCAATTTCTAGTCATCTTAATTTACAACCAAAAGACACCTTAAACAAATGAATCCAACAATGAAATGTATAAATTCATAATTTTTTTTGTTTAAATTACTTACACGAATGTGAAAAAAAATGTGACGAATGGTTTTCTATGTCTTTTTTTTTTTAGTGGTTTTCAATTGGAAAAGAAATGACGTGTCCTTTTATTATACTTTTTGGTGACCTTAAATGCCAAATTAGCTGAATGTAACCGGATACAGACAATGCCCGATCTTGTCTCTAATCGAATCTTTCAACGTTCGGTAACTATTGCAACAAATTTTCCATGTTCTTTTTTTTTCCTTACTACAATTATTTACAAAGTGGACATATCACATCAAAGGTACGGTAGAATTTGCCAAAACATATAAAAATCATCATTATAATTCGTCATTTTTTTTGTGGATAAATTAAATAATTATCAAAATAATAAACTGAACTACTGATTCAAATAATGTTATTATTATTAGCAAAAAAAAAAAAAATACCAAGACTCGGTAGTTAATTATTTTTTTCTGAAGATGCCAAAGATCAACAGTATTTCAGCTTTACCGCGTAATGTAAATTTAATCAAGGACAGAGTTTTTTGATGGGACCATACTAATGCGTTACTAACAGGGCCATGTGAATGCCGTCCAATGAGAATAATGGTACGGGATAACGGGACGGGATTGGTAAAGAAAGGTTGGGTTGTCTGTATCCGTTGTGGGTCACTCTCACTTTCATGGGGTCATTTAACAGCCTGGTCATTCCAGCAAATGCAACATCTCCCTTATTCTATTCTCTTGCAAAGGAACAACAGTGGGTGAGGTGGGGATGGGCCTTTGGCTTTTTGTGAGGGATGAAAACTGAACAACAAAAAATGGGCCCCCATCAAACAGTATCTGTCTCATATACCGAAATGGGCCCAATCCTCAATTATGATCCGTCACATGTGTTTCGAAATTTTAATAAAAAGAAATCATTGGAGGTAATCAGATGTGGTTCGCTATTGGCTATTTTATTTTTCTTTTTGGAAAAGAAAAAAGAGAATCTTTTCTTTGGTACCACATTTGAAGTGCTTGTGGGTTGTGGGTGTATGTTGAAAAGTGCACTCAGCTAACCCCAAGAATACATAAATGAAGAATATAGGGTTTTGATGATCTTGGTATATACAGTTCTCTATTCTAGGGTCAATTCTCATTTGTCAAGATTTTGTGACTGAAGTTCACTTTTTCAAAATCAGTTAAAAACAAGTTATTCGTGTAGAAATTACGTAATTCACGAAAATTTATTTTATATAATTTCATTTAAGGTCTAAATTCGGATAATAACAAAATTTTTTTTTTTTTTTACCATTAAACCAATCTTCTTAAATTCTATATATATATATATATATGTATATATATATATATATATATATATATATTATTTTAGTTGATTGATAATTGACGACATTATAAACGACCCATATTTATAATGGGTTATACATGAGGAAGAAAAATGAATCAAATATATTATTACAAAATAAATCAGTCAATCTCTTGAATTGTTTCAAGAAATTTTTTGATTTATTTTTATAAGTTTTTCCATAGACTCTTGTAATTTTAAAAAGTTAATGTACTTTTCAATATTTATTTAATATAGTAGAACAAATAAGGTTCTTGAATGATAGCAATTCATTGCTATTTTAAATTTTGAGCCAATTAATATCTCAAATTAAAGTTCAAATGGGGAAATTGTAGATTTGTAAAAGAACAAAAGTCCACTAATTGAAACTAATTATATTTAAAACACAAATGATAAATTTTAATTTTTTTTAATAAATATGATTTCATAATTCGAATCCTATAGATCGACAAAAAAAAATTTCATATGTAACAGTTCGCTTACCACTACAGCATCAAATTGTTGGCTATGTTGTATGACTTTTTGAAACAGTAAAGATGATGCCCAAAAAAGGGAAAGAGTAATGGTCTCATCTAGTGTCAAAATCACAAGTTCAAATTCTGAAAAAAACCAAAATAAAGAGTAAAAACCCATAAATCTAAATAGGTTCAAGCCCAACTCTATTATCTGTGTAAGTGCACAAACAGGGTTCAGATTTGTGCCCACAACAAACAATTTGAATATCAGCTGCCTGTGCTGATTTACTATCGTTGATGACCCTTTATTAAACTAATATTATAAGATATCAAACTTCATAAGGTAACTTCGAGGATAGGCCAGATGCTCAAAGAAACTTGCTTTTTTTTTTTTTTTTTGAACTTCATGACTAACATTCAGAAAAATAAAACACCAAGTTTTTATAGAGTTATATTTTTAAAATTGATAAAAAAAAATCTCAATTAATGTACAAACTAATCTGATAATATTTCTTATAATCCAATAGAAAAAAAATCTTTAAAATTTGCTAATAAATCTAAAAAAAAAATTTCCCTTGAAGAGGTCTTCAGTTCAAACCCCTCCAAAAAAAAAAAATCTTAAAAATTTGGTGTAGAAGAATGACACCATTATATCTTCGTTTTTCGAAAATCGAGATTTACTTAAAAATTTTAGTTTTCAGATTTTGGGTTTATAGTTTTAACATCAGGTACGAAAAAATGCCATGAGGTTTCCAAGCCCACTGCGTTAGACAAAATTATCTAACTCCCACTTGATATAATCTGGGCCTGGGCCTAGGCTTGACATGCACGAAGGAATCATGTCAGTATAGATAAAGCCCAAATCAGTCCATTGCATTGAAATTTCAAAAGGACCAATTCTTATGGTAGACTTTTATACTTTTTATTTATTTATTTATTTTTTTATTATTATTTTTAAAGAACTCAAGTCACATTCCTAATTCATTTCTTAAGTATGTTTTAGCTTGAGTATTACTTTTTCCAATCAAAAGAGACGGAATCTTCAACGGCATTTCTTTAATCTTTAAATCGTGCAATTAATCTAAGTATAATGCCAACAAAAGCTAGGAATCCGATGCTGCAAATCCTATAGAATAAGCAAAAGTCCAGAGCAGAGCTCTATTTTTAATTACCCTACATATTCTAATAAATCCACAACATTGCTAATTCAGTACTTTAGGGCATAAGATACAAAATAGCAATAAGACAAATCAAAAAGTGTTTTCTAAATTTTATTTGTGCTGCCCTTTTCTTGTGCAGAACACTTTCTACTTTACTCTTTTTTTTTTATATATATATATATATGATGAGAGGCTAGTTGCTTCAATCTATGGCAAACTGAAAATAAAAGAAATTTCTTGGAGATTCCCATCTTTAGAAGGAAAAGATTTCAGTTCTCTTTGCTGTCCATGGAAATTCTGTAGTCCACTAAAATATCTTTCTTTTGTTAGAGCTTGGAGTCTCTTCTAGCCATTCATCTAAGTCCCACAAAAAAGTCAATAACTTGTTTACTTCCTATCGAAGTACTTAAAAAGAGTAATTGATCAATCAAAAAATTATTGATTAATAAGTTGATCTCCAGACAAACTTTTTATTAATATCTAAAATGTTCAAGATTCGAATTTTAAAATCGCACCTACTAAAAGAAGTTAATCTTATTATTTTCATTCTGAATATAATTAATCATCTATAGTGTATGATAAAAATGCCTGAAAAAAAGAAAGAGAGTAGTTGGTCAAGTCCCATTTGCACTAATTAAGTAAACATTAAGGTTGTATTTGTTTGAGGAAAAACAAGTTTCGGGAACTTTTTTTTTTTTTTCGGTGTTTGTTTCATATTTAAGAAAAAATTTAATGGAAAGTGATTTCCAATTAATGGAAAACGATATACTATTTTAAAAAAAATGTTTTCACGGTTAAAAAAGAGAAAAACATTTTCCTTCTCATAAGGTGTTTCGCTCTCACGTTACTTACCTTTCTCTCGATATATTTTAACAATTTTTTCTTTATTTTATTTTTATTTAAAATATATCAAATTAATTTTTAATTATTCATTATCAATTATTATTAATTATTTAATTATTTTTTTCTCTATTTCTAATAATATTTGATTTTTTTATTTATAGACACATTAAATATTCTTAAAAACCATTTTACAACTTAAAATTATTTTTATAATAAATATTTCAATAATTTATCTCTATTTTTTTTTTACTATTATCTTAAATACCACATACACTATACTTAAATGATCGGAAATGATTATTACAAGACTCGTAATTTTTTATAAAAAAATTAAAATTAATTAATTTATTAATAAACATATTATTTTTTCAACACTATTCATTTGTAATTAAATTAATAATTTGTAATTTTAATCGGTTGTAAAATTTTATTGGCAAGCTGTAGTGAATAATTGGTTATAAATTATTCCAACATTAATCATTTGAAACCAAATGAATAATTATCTACAAATAATAACTAATAATTTATAAAATTATTTTTTAAATTAAATTATCATTTCAATTTCTAAAAAAAAAAAAATTCCTAATTGAGTTATCAAAATAACAATGCTAGGATTACTTAGATTTTTTTTTTTATAACTAAATGTGAATATTGACTTGATTTTATCTTATGTAATTTTGATAAATTGGTTTGATAGTTAAAAAATACATTTTATTTTTTGAATTAAAATTTTCGAGTTAGTATTTATGAAAATTTATTAAAATTTTCTAAATGTATCTTATATTGTGAAATTGTGAATATGTTTTTATGAATTTTTCTCAAAACTTATTGATGTACAATCACATGTTGTTTTTGTATTTTAATTTTCTCGTATCAAACAAATGCTGAAACAAAATTTTCAACAATTTTTTAATGTAATTGTCAAATAATAGAAAATATTTTTTAAAAAAATTAATTTTTCTATAAAAATTATTTTTCGTCAAACAAATGAAGCCTAATATAAATGAAATTTCAAGGAATTGGGGAAAGGGCCATGATGGAAATGTACTGCTTTTCGTTGAAGTTGTATGCTAAGCATAAATGAAGTGTGTAGTGTGCTAAGGTGGCAGCAAGTAGTAGTTGGCATAATAACTTCGCATCATATCTTTTCATCTAGGAGAATACTATGATGCGAGTTAGTTCCCAATCATAATTACCAAGTGCACAAATGATTCATACAACTAAAAAGAACAAAAGAACAGAGATAAATATAAATAATGAATTTTAACAAATTTTACATAAATGGACAGATAAAATAAATGATTTTTTTTTAACATTTACACCATGCACTATTCAATTTTTTTCAAGATCTTTATTATTCGATTTTTTTCATACTTTTTATTATAATATTATTAATTAATTATCGATACATGGATACATGACGTTGTAAGTAAAAAATTTCAAAAGAGTATTGATGATTAATTGACAACGTTATAAAAAAGTATAAAATAAAAAAATTAGAAGAATAAAACGTCTTAATCAAAACAAAAAAGAATCAACAGTTTCAATTAATTTTTTTAAAAAAATACAAGATCTAAATATGAAAAAAATTATAAAATAAATAAATAAATAATTGCACGATATTACAATCCTTGTCATTATACTATTCATGTGAATTGCGTGTGTGTGTGTGTCTCATGTAGGATTATGCAATTGAAAATGGATCAGGTAGGTAGTCCATATTATTATTGCCTTCATGACCCACTCCTAGTGGAATAAGCATTTTTTTTTTAATTTTAACCCAATAGAAACTCAACAGGTGTCTCAACTAATTCCCAAATAGCATGAAGTTTTGATGCCACCAAGTTCCTGTTAGCCTGTTCGTTTACTGTTATTACAATTAACGCGGTTTGTGGGATCAAAAAGTACACCAAATACCGCGTTTCTTCTTCAATGCTCATGGCCTTTTTCTACTTCAACTTAAAACAAAGACCAACCTGTTTACCCGATCTCTTTGTCCGTTTACTCCTCTTCTTCTTCTTTTATTAACCTTTTGTTCCTTGATTCCTGTTGTGTGTGAACAAGAAAAGAAAACAAGAACAAGATATGATGATGATCATCACTGTCTTGTTACTAATAGTTTTGTTCCTAGCTGGCCTCATTAATATCCACTTCTATTTACCTTCCAAGAAATTGTATGCATGGCTCCAATCTTTTGCCTCTACAAGCCCTCCAACAACCATCACTCCCCAAGTTTCCCACAAGGAGAGGAGTGTTACTACTAGTACTAGTACCAGTAGTCCTGCTTATGACAAAACTGAGCTGAAGAGAGTTTTTGCTACCTTTGACAAGAACGGTGATGGGTTTATAACAAAGCAAGAGTTGAGAGATTCATTCAAGAACATAAGAATCTTTATGACAGAGAAAGAAGTGGAAGAAACGGTGGTGAAAGTGGATTCTAATGGAGATGGGTTGATAGACTTTGAAGAGTTTTGTATCTTGTGCAAGGCAATTGGGGTTCAAGGTCAAGGAGGAGATGATGAGAAAGAAGGTGGAGTAGGAGGTGGAGAAGGGGATTTGAAGGACGCTTTTGATGTTTTCGATAAAGATAAAGATGGGTTGATATCAGTTGAGGAGCTTGGTTTGATGTTGTGTTCTTTGGGGTTGAAGGAAGGTAGAAGAGTTGAGGATTGCAAGGAGATGATCAGGAAGGTTGACATGGATGGTGATGGGATGGTTAATTTTGACGAGTTTAAGATGATGATGATGAGAGGTGGAAGCAAGCTTGTTTCTGTCTTCTAAAACCACTCCTCCTCCCTCAATACAAATTATCTTCCTCTAAGCTCTGGTAACATATCTATATATTTCATCTTTGTCACCCATAAAATCACAGAGAAATTTCAATGAAACAGGAGCTCATTCCTTGCCTAATTAACAAACCTTTCTCTTGAGTGTTTCAAATGTAAAGGCAAGAGAACCGGCCATCTCTCTGATCTAATCTAACCTCAAGAGAAATCAATCATACTTAGCTAGATTGCTAGCTGGTTTGTATTAATATTTGTAGGAGGATTTGAACTTGTTATTAGTTAGCTAGTCTGTATTTTGCTGTAGTACATGTACATCGATAAAATCAAGTCATTTTCTTCTGTGTGCTAAGCCAAATCAAAGAAGTGCCATGCTCAGTTCTTTCAGAGTAAAGCAACTGAAATAATCTTCTTAATTAACTTTCCAGCACATTGTTTGCAAACTGAAATCTACTTCTTGTAGCTGAATTATGCAAATATTTTAGAATTGCTTTTAGTTTCTCCAAGGAGATTATTTGTGAATATATTTCTCCAAGGTTGTTTAGCTAGAACCCTTAATCCTGCAAAATTAAGGCGGAGAAAATAGAATTTGTGATCGAAGCTAGCTTGCAGTATCAACAAATCAGATGGAAATTTCTATGAAACTTGGTTTAAACTTTTAAGATGAAGTAAAAATAGACAAATAGGACCAGTATCATGTTCCACTTACTATATAAATCTGGTTTTACAATTTCAAAATCATGAAGAAACAACAGAAGTATAATTATTCTACTCGGAATATGTTTTCCTGCTTACAGCAATTTAAATGGGCTAATAAGATGTCAATCCTAAGACTCATAAACAGATAAGACATTGTAAAAAGGGTGAAAAAGTAACCAAATGATCATAATGAGTTACCAAACTAGGGAGAAAGGAACTAAAGATATAGATCAAGACAACGAACCTATATCATCTGCAATCAAATAGAAGGAAATTACTCCATCCATACAAAAAAGTACAGATGCAAAAGAGAAGGCATTTTCCTGACAATAAATGAAGAAAGCAACATATTAAGAGTAGTGGGGCAAATGAAAACTTTGCATATGTGGAAAGAGAATCCAATTCCACAAACCAAAGCTGAAGTTACTGGATGCTTATTGTGGGGCACGAATAAGGATGGATGATGCGGAACCCACTGGAAAAGCAGGCTTGACTTCTGTCCCATTCCGACCATTTAGTTTCAGCCTCTTGGACAACTATTAAAGCATTCCTGTGCAGGGAGGCTAATAAAGAGGTTCTAGTTGTCACTCCTTAAGCCAAGACTCGTTAAAGTAAATGCCAAATGCCACGAAAGTGATGAAAACCGATTACTAACATCTGGAAACGAGTAAATTATTACTAAAAAAAAAAAATAAATAAATAAAAGATCTGGATTTTACTGTTAAATTACCGTAGCATTTTTTTTTCTCTTTTTTTCCAAAGGGCTAGCCAGCAGCGCAGCGCTAGAGAAGCAGGCCGGCCTGGCTCACAGGCTTACACAAGCAGTCTCTTTTGCCTTTTTTTTTTTTTTTTCAATAATTTATTTTTATATTTTTTATCATGAAATTAGGTGTAAAAATATAAAAAAAATCGTTATTTTTTTTTATTTTTATGTATAATTGGACGATAATAAAATATATATGGTATTTTTTAAAAGATTTTAATGTGAACATATATATCTGATTATATTATTTTTATTATTTAAAATTTATTTCTTCAATTATTTGTTTCTTATTAAAATTCTCATCAAATTAATTTCTTATTTTTTATATAATTTTCTTTGTTAATAAATTTGATTTTTTTTTCTATATTGATTTTGAAATAAAATTTAAGAAAGTGATTGTTTTATTTTTTTAAATATATTTCTATAATTTATACGATTAATTATTTTTATGATTTTTAAATAAGAGTAGCGTGGTTGCATATATAAATTCTGATGAGAGAGAGAGCTAATAGTGTGTTTTAGATAATTTGACTTAATTTTTTTTTAAAATAATAATCAATTAAAAAATAATTTGACTCATTTTTTTTAAAAAATAATAATTAGTTAAAAAATTCTTAGGTTTTGTTTGGTTATATATATATATATATATATAATCAAAACTTATGGAAACCAATTTTATAATAGTTTTTATTTAAATATATTAACTTCGATATATTCCATGCGATTTTTGTAGGCTTTTTTGTATATATTTTTTATTTATTACGTATACTTCGAATCTACTAAGTACGATACATATATAATAGTTTTCTTAGAAATTAATTATATCTGCATAAATAACACCAATTATTTGTTATTTTTTTTTTCATATTCTAAAATCTATATTTTTAAATAAAATAATTTAATTAATGTGATGAAAGAACCTCATAATTATTCAAATACAAATTTTTATATAAATATTATAAATTATTTTGCTGATAAATATATATAAATCAAACAAATTCACTTAATATATAGATTTGATTTACACTAATCTTCGAAACAAAACTTCTACTCGCATCATACCATATAAATCATTAACTCTGCATATCTACATATATAATGTTTGTCTGATCATAACATATCGCGAATACCTAACTAGTTTCAACACTAAACAAAATTATCACTAGCATTTCGTATAGTTATAGAACCAAATATTTAATAGATGTGAACTACTTGCATCCAAGAAATCTCTTCACGTATTGGGAATTTGGGACAGGACATCAATGTACTCCTATCCCATATTGAAAATCCATCCCGTGTTTAATTACTTTTCTCAGTCAAACAGAGCGTAATACCAAGTTTCCTTGGTTCTAACGAGGAAGAAATTTTTTGTTTTCTAGGTTGTTTTACAGAGCCGGCTTCACATGGACAAGCGTGTGAAATCAAATACATAGAAGGGCTGCATTCATCTTAAAGAAGAAAGGAATGCTCAACCGCCCTATACAAAATACTCACCAATCACACCAAAGGGAGATTATACTGGGGCAAGAAATTGCAAGTTTTTGCACATAGTAACGGTTGCTCAGCCGCCCCATACATGCCAATCACCATTGTTCTTTTGCTCGAATCAAAATTGTTCTGGCGACCAACGTTGCCAGTAGGTGCCAAATAAGATCGACAAAGAAAATATAAGAGAGCACCAACAATTCATGGGTGTAAATCAGTGCCAATCATATATGAATTATTATATATAAATCTGTTCATGTAATATAAAACCACAAGCATTTCTTTATAACAAACATGATTCAAATCAAGGGCAGAGGTAACTCCTTGACTTTCAAATCTTTTGATCATGGCCAAACCTTGGGATATGTAACGATAAAAAAATAAAAAAAACATGTGCAGTCAAGCACCATATGATAGCTCATACTTGCACTGCCTCGAGATCCTGGACTACTTGCTTATATTTTACCCAGAGAGCCATACAAATTTATTAGAAGACATCAGGGTGGAAACGTCCTGGGATTGAGCTGCCTTGTTGAGCCTGCTTCAGGTGCAATGTCAATGCATAGTTGTTTACCTGGCAGGGCATTACATTGAAAGGGTCAGAAAACTGGAAAGCAACAGTGGATTTTTTCTTAAAAGCAACAGAAACACGGAATATCATCACAAATTGCTCTGTTGTTAACATGGCGAGGGAAGAAATGTGAAAATTCCACCAAAACACTTAATCATGCAAATAACAAAAGTTAATGAGCTCAACCTCCAAGGTTCTCAACTGGTCCTGGTATTGGGAGACCAATTGCTTCAGCTGCTGCAACTCCTGGTTCCTTTCTTCAAATTCTTTTTGACGCTCATGCTGAATAGATACAGCTCGCTTGAGAATTGTGTTTTCCTGAATCAATGCTTGCACTTGTTCCTTCAACATCATGTTTTCCTATTGCAAATGAGAAGACAAGCAGAAAAAAGTCTCAAAATAAACCCAACATGAATATCTCGTCTACAGTAGTCACTGAACAAAGGTAGAGAATATGGAAAGAAAACACTGATAGAAGTAATAAAACACCTGGTGAAAGCTTTTGGCTGCCTCCGTTCCTGCACGGGTACAAATGGACTTCTCCAGAACTTCTAGTGCTCTTGAAGCACGTGCTCTAGCATCATCAATATTAGAGGCACTCGTCATTTCCCTAACAAAGAGCTCTACCCACTCCGCACCATCCATTGAGAGGTGTGCTGCCACTGATGGATCCTCAGTAGGAGGTGCCTCAGCATCTGTTGTTGCCACCCCTACAACAAAATATTGCTCTTTGCATCAAGACAAAAAAAAGACCAACATCCCAAGGCTCAGATTCTTGAACCATAAAGCATAGATTATTATTTTATCTTTATTTTAATTGGTACAGTGTTTCACATGGTTATAATGTTTGATTTAATTGGAAATTCACAGGATTGATGTGAACAGGCATACAAACATGCTTAAAAAGGAAAGCCATAGTATAACAGGTGTATGAATCAGGATGAAAACCAGAACCATGACTAGTTGACTGCTAATCTTTCTTTGATCAAATACCAAAGCACATTTAAATCCACCACCTTAGCTTTCCTTCTAATTACAAATGGATGTCAACAATTCAAGAGAGGACATTTGAAGAAATTTCCAATGATTTAATATGCTACATGCAGTTTGTTAATCAAAGATTTTCTTGCATGAGCTTTATTCTTTTGATGATCAAAAGAAGATTATACAGTATCCCTACAAGGCTAAGAGTGCAAAAAAGAAGAATATACAGTATAACTAGGAGAATATACTAGATAAAAATGGAAGCAAAAAAGTCAACACAAGAAGCACTCCATTGACTTAGCACATTAGCTAATGAAACTCATTCAAAATCCTCTGGAGAATTTCACCATAAAGATGCTAAAACACTCAGCTATAAGAAATAACTGCCCCAAATTGCAAGGATCCTCATGATAAACACTGAGGATCTCCATAAGATCTCAGTCTTCTCTCCCATCAAAGTTCAGAAAAGAAATCAACTACAGGTTGTCCATGGTATTCCAAAGCACCCAAGACTCACAACAAATAGAAAAATGTCTGACATATACTCCAAATACACTGGACAATGGAGGAGAAAATGAGACTGTCTTTCCCCACTAATACAACCCAACATGTTGATGCGGAGATAAGGCCTTGTGGCCTGCTAATATGCAGCCAGTTATTAGTGTTAATTTTAGCAGACACATCCATCAAAATTCTAACTGACAAAACAATTTGTTGTAGCTTAATTCTCCATAGAGTCAAGAGACCAAATCTTGTTTGTCACAAACCATGCTATACATCCAACAACTAATTCATTTTAAGTCAGTAAGAGTGAAGGACCAAATCTTGCAGCCTTCATACAGTCAACTTCTTATTTTTATTTTCAAACCCCTCCCCCTCTCTATCTCCCCTCCCAAAAATCTGTGCTACCAAAGACCATTCCCTCTATAAACCGCGATGCACCATTCTCCATAGCCTTGTTCTATACCTAATACAACAATCACTCTCTCAGTTAATTAGTTTGGTAAGCATTCCATATTCAACAACTGCGCATGAATGCACAACCAGTTGACTATTTCAAACATGCCAGCTAACGTCATGGACAATAACCATCCACACCTGATTCCATAATTTCTGCATACAGTTCGACATTATCAAAAGCAGCCAACGAATCCTAAGCATACCAATTCGCCACATGGCCTTGAACTGGTTGAGCCTTTTATAAGCCTCCATCAATACCATTTCTATAGGAAAAAAAAAAACTAAAAGAGTCTCCGATGGGTGCAACTAGACACAAAATCATCAGTAAAACTCTCATCTTAGGATTGCTCACATTTTAATATTCCAAACATGCATGCATACACACACACACACACGTTATTATACAAAAATCATCTGAGCCAATCCATAGTAAGCTCAAAACTTTCAGGAAATATAATATACCAAAAAGTTTCCTCTGCGTACCTTGTGGAGGAACATTAGCCTCATCGGCTGCATCAGACTTAACTGCAGTTGTTCTGAAGTTTTCAGCAGATCCTAAACGAAGCTCAGTCAAACTTCTGATAGCTGAATCCAAATCATCGCCACATTCTTCAAGCGCTTTCTCAAGAAGCTATAATGACAAGAGTTCAAAAAAGTCAGCAAATTACCCAAAACAGATATGTTACAAACACTCAAATCTGATAAGCGATCATTATTGCCAACCCAATCTGAGGGGTGCTCTAAGACAGAAACCAACTGAATGTCATTGGCAATTAAGCATTACTGTTATTACTGTAGCTAAAGAACTTCCAAAACAAAGAAACTAATACTGATACATCCACTTTAATTCACAACTCATTCCCAACCAGACCAAACAAAATTTTAACAAACCATAACAAAAACAACAATCAAAAATCAATTTTTTTTATAGATTCCCAGAACTTTTATAATCAAAAGTAGTAAAGATAAAATAAATAAATAAATAAAACAAAAATCAATAAACATCAACACTTTCCATTTTCCAGTTAAATCATTTCCGATTGCCAATTTCCCAAAAACACCTTGATTAAATTAATTCACAATCCAAATTAAACAAAAACCCAACCAATCAACTATTAAATTATATAAATACCAAAAAAAAAAAATCAGAATTAAGCAAATAAAAAATCAATTAATCATATTGTCATAAAACAAAAGGAGAATGAAAGACGCAAACCTGCTTGTCCATATCAGGGAAAATGGAGGCGAGCTGTTCGATCAAAGTCGAAGAAGAGGAGGAAGAAGAAAAGAAGTTAAACGACGCCGGATTGGAAGTAAGAGTATTGGATCTAGGAGGAGAGAAACGAACAGGAGAAGAAGAAGAACAACGGATTCTTTTTGACACAGGCGGGCTTGTAACAGTCAATTCTTCAAAGAAAGATCTCTTCCCGCACACTATTGCAGACATAGTGTTCTTTCCTCCTAATCAAAATTAAAAAGATCTCTCCTTTCTCTCTCTCTCTCTCTCTCTCTCTATCTATCTATCTCTCTACTCCAATCCCTAATTTCCTGTTCATACAGCACCAAATTCAACCAAATCTGTCTCGAAACTCTCCAAATTGAGTTCTTACAGAGACCGATTTCGATGAATTCGATTGATTACGATCTGTAGATTAATTTTTATTGACGGTTTGTATGATTGATTTTGGGGATTCGGTGATAATTAGGGTTTCTCTACTTTTATTTTTTTTGTTTTTTGGGTTTTTAGATACCTAATCTGCTCCTGTTTATGATTCGTGCTGCTTCATATTTCATGGCTAAAGCCAAAAGTGGAAGGTGACGTGTATTTATGGGTTCATTTATAAAAGGGAAGAGTAAACTTCATTATTGTCCCTATAGTTGATCCGTATTATATTTCTATCCCTATATTTTGAATTTCATAATGTTACCCTTCCACCTTCCAAAAAGTCAATGTTCTTGTCATTAAATAGCTTTTGAATTTAAGTTCTTAGTTTTAATTGATATCTTATGTTTAGTCATGGTTAAGAAAGGTATTTTTATTTTATAGTTCAATAGCGCAATCTAAGACCAACCTCAAAACTAATTGAGATTCATTTAATAATATAATTACAAGGGGCAAAGGATAAAAAAAATATTGATGTGGAGATTTAATAGAAATTAATGAGAAATAAAATTCACAAAATGAAGTCAGTTTTTCCTTAATTATTCAATAGTAATAGAAAGGGGAAATTTAACATTTTTTTGAATACTGTGGGAGTAATATTGAGAGATTTTAAAATAGGAGGTTAAAAGTGAAAATGTGCATGAATTTATAGGGTTAAATAAAGTTTGCACAAACGGCAAAGACACATAAGGGATAATGGGATATGTGGAGACGAGGGAGAACGTAGCGTGGCCTCATGTCATTGGGCTTTCTTCCAATTTACGGCACTGTTGAGTTGAGTGAGTTTTACTTTCTTAGACGGCGTTTCGGTCGTGAGGTAGGTCGTGTTGGGCTTTGATTTTGATGGTATAATTGGGCATACGATTTTGCATTACAAAAGCCCAATTTCTTCTGGCCTGCTTTATAGAAAGCCTCAAACAGCACTAATGATGCAATTATGATAACAAGTATTACTTTAAAGGTTAATTATTCTGGCATCAGTTTCTACATCCAATATTAAATTTTTGCCCTAAGTTTTAGATGATGAATTTTTTTTGAAAAAAAATCTATAAAAGGATATATATATATATATATATATATATATATATATATATATATATATATATATATATATATATGAATTATGAATTATTAATATACTAGATCTATAAACGGATGAGATTGTCCTAGAAGTCAAGATTTCAAGAAGTCGATAAATTCAATTCATTTGATTGATTAAGAGAGATCACGAAGTAATTTGCAATTGAGTGATGTTAAATATTAAGAAAATACTTCAAGAATACACTTACATTAGGAATATTAGATACACCAATTTTTTGAACTTTTTCTCGATTGAATATATCGATTTTTGTTTTTCTATTTGAGTATATTATTTTTTTTAAAAAATGTCAATTCAAGTTATTTCTATAAATTTTTCTGTCTAGTGATGACATATCAATCAATTCAAAAGAAAAAATGACTATGTTTTCTTTTTTTATTCCTTGCAAATTATTATTATTATTTAACTATTTATTAAAAAAAAATCTTGCAGCCGGCATGCATGCGTGCCAATCAATGTATATCGTCAACCTTTTTTAAAAAAATTAAATAATAATAATAATAATTTGGGAGGAAAAAAAATAGCAACATAATTATTTAGTTTTTTGCGTTAATTGCCACCTCATTAGTAGACGAAAAAACTTGATTGACATATTCGAAAAAATTGATATACTTAAACTAAAAAAAAATAAAAAATTGATATATTCGATTAAGAAAAAGTTCAAAGTTATGTACTAATAATATAATTATCCCCACTTAGATTATTCAATTAGTAGAATCTATAATTGGATTCTATTTTAAAATTATGATTCAACGGTCCATGTGTATTTTTAGAATTTTTTCTTTTCATATTTTTTTAGTATTTAGTATTACCGTTTGCAATTCATACTCATAAAAAAGAAGAAAGCTCTTTTCACTAATATAAAAATAATTTATTGATCATCACGCATATAAAATTCGTCCAACCACAAACTAATATCTCTACAATGTGACTCGATCTTTTTCTTTAATTTGGAAATATGTATAGTGCAAAGTGCTTTTAATGTTTAAAATGATAAAGAAAAATATTGCAACAATTTTACAATTGTTTTTGTATTACAACAGCAATAGTAAAAACCACCTCGATATAAAAAATAAAAAATAATAAAATAATAAAAAAGGCACCTTCAAAAGTTCCAAAACTTTATATTGGAATCTTTCTATTTCATTATTGTGCGACAACTTTTCAAATAATTTCGGAAATTTTATCTGCTTATTAAATTACAAAAGTATTTAAAATACAATTCTTTTTTAAAAAGAAAAGAAAAGAAAAGAAAAGCATTATCAATGTGGGCTCAATTTTGTACATTTTCTCAATCAAGTATTTCAATTTTTATTTTTTTCGTTTCAGTATATCAATTTTTTAAAAAATATCAATCAAGTTTTTTTAGCTAATTTTCCATTTCATGATGATGTGGTAGTTAACAAAAAAGACTAAATGACTACGTTGTCTTTTTTTTTTTTTCCTTTTCTCCTCCTAAATTGTTATTATTATTTAAAAAGAGAGAGCAAACTAGGTGTTTTGCTATCTTAGATATATATAATTAAAATGCTTTGCTTTCTTTTTTTAATTAATAATTAAACAATGATAACAAATTGAAGACAACATGATTATTTAATTTTTTCTATTAACTATCATGCATCACTAAATGAGAAATTAGACGAAAAAACTTAATTGATATTTATGAAAAAAATTAATATATTGAAATTAAAAAAATAAAAAATAATATAATCAATTGAAAAAAGTTTTAAATTAATATACTTATTATTATGTAGTTTTCTTCTTGAATCAGCTGATTAGCTACCCTCCAAGTCCATATGTCATAAAGTACCAAATGATTCTATGGAAATTTTCTTGGTTTCGTAGTATTTATGAATATAAAAATTAAATGATATGATCCCATCTTTGACCAACCAAAAAGTTAAGGAATTTTGTTTCCCATGCTATTATCCATTTTATGATGATCACATGTTATAACTCAAAACTAGGCCATCAACTGTGCTATGCCTAAAAGAGACATAGATCACCGAAAGTAGCAAATAGTTGAATTACATATTAAAATAATATATAAAAAAGAAAAAGGATAAGAGGATATAAATAACTTCAATGATCACACCCATTTCCCCTGCATTAAACTGATAATACACTTTTCTTAACCAGTTCAAAACTGATTTATTGGCTTCCAAAATTGCGTGCCAAAAACCAGTCAACAAGCATCTTCATATCCATCACTTGCTTTGGTTCCCTTTTTAGCCATGTATCCACCAATGAGATGAAACAGTTCCAAGCACCATGATGATGATACCGAACCATGCTGCACAAGTTGTGTATATCAAGAAGCAAGAAAATTTCACACCAAACCATTACATTACAATAAAAATAAAGTAAAACGCATGCAAGGGTATCTTCATTCAGACTCATTTATACTATTTACGTAGGTTTATATATATTATTTTTTTCACTATATAGTGATATTTTTATAATTTTTAAATTTTTTTTAAAATATTTATTATAAAAGTTTGTATGACCTTATACTTTGATCATTCTTTTTTTTAAATATTAGTTTTTCGATCAACAAATTTTTTTATTTTATTTTAGTCCTTCTTTTTTGTTTTATTATTATTATTTTTTTTACTTTCGTCCTTCTTTTTTTCTCTCTCTCGATTTTTTAATTAAAAATTTTAAGGTAAAAAGATGTCTAGGAAAAATAATTTATAAAATAAGTTTTTAGTTAAAAATATAGATATAAATAAATAAATAATATGTTTTTACAAAAAATTTATGAAAATATAAAAAATAATTAGTCATGTATAAAATTTTAATTAAAAAATTATAAAATTGAATGAATTTTTATTCAGTTTTAATTTGATATATTTTGATAAATGCACAATACAATACGAGACATCAAACTAAATTAGTTTTTTAAAAATAATTTTATGTATTTTTTTTACTCATAGCACAAAGAGGATAAAAAAATTAGTTTAAAATATCAAGGAGATGGGGGTGGATGCCTTGATGGCCTCATGGGGAGTTTTTGATTACTTTTTTGGGCCCTAGATGGTTCCCAAAATCTGTCCATTTAGCAAATGGTCCATCTCAGAAAGTATAACGTATGGTGAGTTTTTGTTTTCAAGTGCAAAATCTCCCCCTGAAAACATATTCGTCTGGACCTTTCTCCTGCACCATTATATGGTTTCTAGCTTTATACCTCCAAAAACAGGATATCTAGGTTTTCCCATGTATGATGATTTTGAGTGGGCTGCCCTAGTGAGTGTGTTTTCTCCAATCTCTTTCTATCTCTTCTTATATCTGCCTCAAATATATGTGTGTGGTAGGGTCCTATAATGGGTCAAAACGCATAGTGGGGGCAATGGGCATCACTTCTTTCCAACAAGGACCTTGTCAAGTTGCAAGAACAGTGTAGAAAAAAGAATAGGATCTCTTCTCATCTCGCATTGCTTTTCTTCATCCAAAGCATCATAGAATACCATTTTGTTTAATGGTTGTTGATGAAATGACCTCTCACCAAGCACCTCTCCCTTCCTTCCCCACTCCCTTTTTTTTATTTTTCCCTCTCCCTCTTTTAAAATAATACTACCCTTCAATAGAAATCCCCATTTTCCATCAATGTAGGAATATAAATCTACAATTTCATGGCCGAGAGAGAGAGAGAGAGTGCGTGTGTTTGATGGGATTGCACTCAAAT